TTAAATATCTACACAAAATCCAATTTTTTAGTGATTGAATAGTTTAACAATGAAAAATTGGTGTTGATAGATCAACATCCAAGTCGAAAAAAAAAAGTAGCTAATAATTGAGAGGTTTTGAGAACTTTTCTTATAATTGGTAAGTTTGGTTCTTTTCAAATTTTGTGTGCTTGTTAATTACTTATTGATTGAAGTTTGGATGAAATTTTAGTTATAATCTATAATTCAATTAATATTTATTGAGGTTTCAAATAACTATAGTAATTGATTAAAAATTACTTGAATTTTTCTTGGGATTGTTTAAGGTTTAAGATTTTATTAGAATTTGGTCTAGAATTAAGGATTAGAATTTTTTTAGGATTTGATTAAGATTTGTTTAGAGTTTGATTGTGATTTATTCAAAATTTGATTAAAATTTAAGATTTCATTAGAATTTGGTCTATGATTAGGATTTAGGATTTGCATAAAATTTGGCATAGGATAAAGATTTAGAATTTGCCTAAGATTTGTTTAGAATTTGACTAGAATTTGATTATAATTTATCTAGAGTTTTTTTATAATTTAATTAGGATTTGATTAGGATTTGGATAGGATTTTATTTGGATTTGCTTTAGAATTTGATTAAGATTGATTTAAGATTTGTTGAAGACTTTATTAAGGTTTGATTAGAATATAATTAGGAAATTTATTTTTGATGTTTTTTAAATATTTTTATATCATATATATTTTTATTTAGATTAATTTATTATTTTATTGTATTTCTTTCATAAATTCTTAAAATTTCTTTTGGATTTAATTAAAGATTGATTACAATTGTTATAATTTATTTAGAGTTTTTTTAGAATTCTATTAGAGTTATTAAAATCATCTTGTAATAAGTTTAATTTTCTTTCTATATCTAGGTATCAAGTACATTCTCAAATAAACTTCAGATAATATGACATCATATAATTTGATATAGATTAATACATGAGATGAATGGAAGATAGATTTTTTGACAAAGTACGGACATTTTGAAAATAATGTCTTAACTTTTGGATTGATACATGCTCCAGCTATATTCCAATATTTGTTGAATGATGTTTTTTGAGAATTTGTAGACAAGTTTCTTATTTGTTATCTTGATGATATCTTAGTCTACTTTGAGGCTCTTGAAGAACATGAAGAATATATGGGATTAGTCTTGCAAAAGTTATGAAATGCAAGATTATATGCCAAATTAAAAAAAACATAATTTCCATCAAGCAAAAGTAAAATTTTTTAAAAAATATTATATCAAATGAAGGCTTGTTGATAGACTCAAAGAAATTTCAAGCTATAATAGTTTTAAAAATTCTAAAGATAGTAGAAGATGTGTCAAATGCTTTATCAAGGAGATCATATCTTACTTCAAAGGTCAAAGAAGCAATATTTGATCAATAATATATCACTCTCTTGAAGCTAGAATAATTTTGTCTTTGCGCTAGTTCTATGGTTATACTTGTTGATTCAAGTTTTCTTGAACAAATTTGTGCAACGTCAATTAAAGATTTATTAGTTCATAATATCAAGTAACACCTTGACAACAAAAAAGTTAAACTCGTGGAAGATCTTTTGTATTGTGAAGATTATTTATATATTCCAAAAAAATTGTCGCAACTTCATATTCTTCAATCTTATCATGATTTTTAAATTGCATGATATTTTGGACTTAATAAAATATTAGAGCTTATTTTTCAAGGTTTCTAGTGGCCTTAAATGTGGGAGACCATGAAGGACTTTTTTCTTTCATGTAACACATGTTCAAGCTCCAAAAATTCTTAACATCATCTTCATAGACTTCTACAACCATTGTTAGTTCTAAAGTAACCATGGTCTTTAATTACAATAGATTTTATCACTAATCTGCTACCATCAGCTACATTTGATACTATTTATATTATTGTAGATTGATTTATAAAGATAGTATATTTTGTCTTATGCAAAAAGATAATTTTTAAAGAAGAAACGGTAAGGCTCTTTCTTAACAATATATATCAATATCATATCCTACCTAATGACATCATTTTTTATTGAGGACCTCAATTTACATCAAAGTTTTAAAAATATCTATTTGAGATATTGAAGGTGGATATTAAACTTTTTTCTACCTTCTTCTCTCAAACCAATAGTCAATTATGATAAATCAATCAAGTTTTGGAGCAGTATTTGGAATATGCCATCAACTATCAACAAAATAATTGAATCTTCTATTTATTTTTAATGGAATTTGCTTATAATAATATTTTTTATACTTTGACTCATCAAACACCATTTTATACCAATTAGGATTATGATTTGAAGCTTGATTTGGTAGATATATCAAAAGATAAAAATCTAACAACTAAAGATTTTACAAAATAATTTTTATAGCTCCAAAAAACTTTAAAAGTCCATTTACAAGCAATTCAAGTTTCTTATAAAGCATCTTCAAAAAAATTTAGAAAAAAATTCCCTATTTTTTAAGTCAAAGATAAATTATGTCTTCTTTGACAAAATATCAAGACCAATCAACCTTACAATAAGTTGGATTACTAAAGATTGAGACCATTTTATATTTAAAAGCAAATCAATTTAGTAACTTATTCTTTGGAAGTATCTACATCCATGAAGGTACATCTAAACTTTCATGTTTTTCTCTTAGAAGATTATTCAGAATCAACTATTTTGAAAAGAATACAATATCACTGCCTTGCATTGAAATAGATAATCATGTAGAATATGAGGTAGAAAAAGTCTTTGATTCTTAGTAAAAAAGAGGCAAGTTGGAGCATTTTATTCATTGGCATAGCTACAATATCAATGAAAGTATGTAGGAACCAACAAAATAATTTAATTAATATATTACAAAAAATACAAAAATTTCATTGATGCTATCTTCAAAAACCTAAACCAATTTTAGGATGACTTTTCTATAAAGCTACTGCTAGGATGTTATATATAACAAAAAAAATAGATATGACATCGATGCTCCTCATGGAATTCGAAGTTAGAAGAAGAAGTGATATTACAAACATCTAATAAGAAGATTTTTAGAAGATTTTAATAGAAGATTTTAAAATATTCTAATAAAATATTTTAAAAAAATTCTTAAAAAATTTTAAAAGATTCTAAAAGGTTCTTAGAATATTTTAGCACATTTTAAAAAGTTTTAGGAAGATTAGAGAAGTTGTGTAAGAAAGTTCTTAGAATTGCTTTATCTTCGAGCAATATGAAAACTTCTTGAGAAGCTTCTTAAGGTTGCTTCCTCTTTAAGCAACATGGAAACTTATTAAGAAGCTTCCTAATATTTACTATATATTGGAATCGAGGCTAAAGAGATTTACAATCTCAACAATACACTTCTTAAAGTTTTAGTCCACATTTCTTAGTATTGATCTTATATTCATCTAGTTTAATCAAGTTCTTATTAGTTTTCTTGTTGAAACTCTTATGTCCAACTTCTTATTTGGTCTTCTATATAGTATATCCATAACAGAGATGAACTAATTGAATAAAATACAAGGGTCAAATTTTATCTCTAATTGAGTCATCTCTCATTATTTTCATTATAAGTAAAGCAAAAATTGAGTTATGCAGTTATTCAAAAGGTCTTAGAGAACTTTGTTATAGATTCATTGGGCCTTAACAGTACATATGATTCACTTCTACATCAAAAAATAATATCACATTGGCTTTTAATTCAATCATCATTGTTTTTATCTTTTTTTTTTTTTTTTTTTTTTTTTCTTCTATACTTGAGATCATTAGACATTGTTGCAAAGTTTATGCCCACTTATAAAATTGAACATATTGAATGTTCAAAAACTAAAGGAATAAAAGCCTTTGTACTATGCTTCTTTGAGAGGTTTCTATATAATCTTGTAATTATCACTCTTAATTTTAAATCTAGAGGTACTCTATTGAAACCAATCATGATCTCTCATTAGGTGGAATAATAATGTTTGTCTAATACCTTATTATATCTTTACCCAATTTTCAAACACTAACTTTGCTCTTTGTTTATAAATGAAGTCATATATTTTCTTCTTAGTAGATTTGTTCTTTCAAGAGTTGTCAAACTTTGTGTGATTTACAAAAGAAATCCAAATGTTATCTTTTTGTAAGAAAGACCCTTTAGAGCGTGTATTAATTGAGATGGTGTAATCAATTATGTAAAGAGGCTTAATGGATATATAATAAGGTACTGAATTTAAGATCCATGATGCTTGTGCTTTCTACTAGATACATGCCATTGACATGGATTTCTACTAATATATATATATATATATATATATATTCCTAAAGTAAGATTGTTATAAATAAAAGTCTATTTTCATCTTTTTTAAAAAATAAAATAAAATAAAAAATTGCAAAAAATTAATAAAATCCCTCGTTTTTGAAAAAATTAGTATTTTTTTATTCTTTTATTATTTTTCAAACAATTCCAAAAATTGTTTATCCAAAGGTCATGCAACTAAAAGCAAAGAACTTCACCATTTCAAAACTAACAAACAAACAAATAAAGCATCCTAGAAGTGGTATAATAATAAGCTCTATCAAAACTAAACAACATGTAGTAGGCATCAAGAGGATACAAGAGCATCATCAACCAAACTCACATCACACCTTGTGTGATGTGACTAGGAAATGAATTCGAGAATGAGAACAATGGTAATGGGAGGAGGAGTGCTTGAACATGAGCGAGCCAGCTTGAGGGAAGAGCAATGGATTCAATGCAAGGAAGGAAGGCTGTGGATGACGATGGTGGTGGCAACAGCAGCAGTTGTTGGGTGATATTTTATTCGTCGTCCAGTAAGAAAGATGAAGGTGGAGCAGCTTTGGGGAGGCGTTGAGGGGAGGGAGGGTATGGGCACCGGGAGTAACCGGCCGACTGGCAGGAAGAGACGGAAACGGGTGTGGTGACGGAGACGGGACGAGATTAGTAGAGGAAAGGGGGGCAGCAGCGACATCCAATTTCGTCAGGCATTTTGCCAGAGATCATCGCCAGCCAGCTTACATCCGCTCAGCAGCGTCGTCCAGGACGGTGAGAACATTGACGACCCAGCAGCAGCACAGCATTAGCAGCAGCAGGAGTAGTAGCAACAGCAGCAGGAAGGGGCATCTTGGATCGTTCGTTTGCATCTTGCTGTGTGCTCGATTGCTTTGCCCTGCCTCCCTCCCTCCCCTCCCTGCCTTCCTGCCTGGGAGTCCGGTAGCTGTTAGGGTTAGAAGGTCTGAAGAAGAGAAAGCACAACTTGCTTGCAGGGCCCAGTGTTGTTGAACTTAGGGTTGGGTTGAGGTGGAGTAGCCTGACGACCGGAGGTCTGAGTGTTGCGAGTGTGTGTGAGTTTGTGTGTGTGTGTGTGTGAGAGAGAGAGAGAGAGAGAGAGAGAGAGAGAGAGAGCGAGAGGAGGGCTTCATTTCATGCTGATGCAAGAAGGGGGAACCGGTAGCACGATCTATGGCGCGAGCCGCAGGTAGCAACACAAAGTTTGCATCTGTGAACTTGAACAAGAGCTATGGCAAGCCTACGGCTGGAGCGGGGGGCAGCGGCAATGGCTCTGGGTCGGGAACTGGAGCCCTTGGGGGTGCAGGGCGAGCCGGGCGGACCTCGTCGCACGGGGGGATGTTGCTGCTCTCCCGCTCCGGGGTAGCCACCTCGGTGCCGAAAGGAGGTCGAGTTATCGTGCCGCGCCCGGTCAATCTTCCGTCGCTGCGACGGGAGCACGCTGGAAACGATCCTTCCATTGCGCTTGTCGGCGGCTCTGGTTCTTCAGGATGGACCAAAACGCTCGTGCACGAAGAACAGGCGCCTGTCGCTGTTGCTGTTGCCACCCCCGAGACGTCTACGGGTATGTTCGTTGAACCTGCCGTACATTCACTTCATTCTACCTCAACTCATTTAGGATTGAGTTGTCGTTCATGCGGGTGAGAGGTCGATTGGACTATCAATCAACAAAAAACGTTTCTGGCATCTCTTAATCTGTTGGTTATATTGCAACCTTCCTCTTTGTTCTAGGCCTTCATTATTGTAAAAGCGGTTATGAAGTTTTTAGATGTCTCGAAGGTGTTGGTTTTTGTGGCTTCCCGAGATTTAGTCAAGAATGTTGAGGAGGTTTTCCGCATCGAGGTCTAATGTAATTCGCAGATTAGGGGAAGTGAGACAGAATTTTGTTGGTTACAGGACTTGAATGCATCTAAGTGGACCTTGTACACGGATTAACAGAGTGTTCTGTCTTTTGTTCATTTGCTTTACCCTTGGTGCCAATCATTCGATGTGTGCGTTCTGATAGAGAAGCTTGACCCTGGGTGTGCCTCTGTCCGGGAGGAATACTCACGGCATAGTATTTTGCTGCTGAGATGTCCCAATGAGCGGTAGCCGAGGCTGGATCATGATTAGGGTTAGCAATGTGTTGGCGGATCGCATTATGTAGTCCAGAATGTTCTGAAAGGTTGCACGATGCAGTCGGAGTGACCCTTCGAAGAGGTTTCTGCCTTCGATTAGGAATATTGGACTTATCCGAGAAATCGGTTGTCCTCGTAGGCTTGCTTTCGACTCCGGGACAATTTTTCACGGCTTTGGTTTGCCAGCGTGTGGAGGGAACTTTAGAGGGATTCAATGAGAACGAATCTCTGATCTTTCGTAGTGTCTTCAATTTGATCGCAGCTTTTTATGTTACAGTGTAAGATTCGAGAGGGTAAACTTATCAACTTTGAATGAACTTCACGAGAAGATGATGATGGCCTTACCTGAAAATTTTGAGCGTTTTTGTTGTCAGGAATGGCAAGGTTAGCACCAGCATTGAGTGCTGGATCAACTTGGGGGACTTCGCCTTCTCTTCCAGGCCAACCTTCGACTGGGTCTCTAAGCGGAGAACATTGGCCAGTGCCTACACAATCTGGACCTACTGGAACCACTCAAGTTGCTCCTGGAAGGCACGGTGTGTATACACCACCTCGTGCGCGTGCAATGCAAAATCCTGTTGTGACAAGTGGTCACATTGTCCCCGCCGTTGAGAAGGCTGTGGTGTTGAGAGGGGAAGATTTCCCAACATTGCAAGCCGCTTTGCCCCCTCCTTCGGTCTCTAGCCACCAAAGGCAGAAGGAATTGCATCAGAAACAGAGGGAGAAGCAACAGGAGCTCAAAGATCAGCAGCAGAAATTGCAGCTTCTGTCTGAACAGCACGCGGTTTTGAAGCCCGACGAAGTCTTACAGTCTCATCTTGGAGGTAGGTTGCTGTGGCCGTTTCCATCGAAAATTGGTCTAAGTTTGTTACTTACCAGTTGCCAGAAATCATTTTCTGATACGGAGAGTTCAGAAACGAATTAAAATAGTCTACATTTTCGCCCACACGAATCTGTTTTATGAAACTACTTCCGACATGGAGAGGCTGGAGGACATTTATGTAGAAGATAAATGTACTCGTAATTTTTACAACTTGATGATTAAAATGCTTTTTCAATTATTTAATTTAATTTTTAATTCTTTTGTTTGAACAATACTACCAATGTCTACACTGTAGACTCTAACTTCTTCTGTTCATTCTTCAATTGCAATCTCGATTTTTTCCTTTGCAATGCTTTCTATTCGAGCACTCATTGGGGTCTATTACAGGTCCACAGCTGCAACCTGCACAGCCAATATCACTGCAAACGAAGAAAGATCATAGCCGCAAGGATGCGCCTGAAGAGTCTCAATCACTGGAGCAACAACGCTTCACTGATCCAGGATTATCTGTCCGATCTACACCTAAAGCTGGCAATAGTTCATTGGGTCCTGGAGCATCTGGTCCTTCTCAACAACGTCAGTCAAATTGGACAGACGATGAGAGGGACTCAACCTTCCGTTCACAAGGGGCCAATTATTCTGAATGGAGTGATCGATCAGATCGAGAGCCCGATCATCAACCCGCGAATCGTGTTGGGGAGGGCTACGGATATGGTCGGCCTCCATCTTTCAGAGAGGTCTCTTTTATTCCAGGGCGTGATGGTCACATGGGCAAAGTTGCTGACGTCCGGGAGAGTAGGTTTAGTGGCGACAATTCACTTGGACGTGAGTCTTCGAGCACTGCACATAGCGCGGACAACAACTTTAGTCGAAGTAACTTTACTGGTAGAGAGGGGGGTTCCCGGGAATGGGGAGGAGGGGTGAATAGGGAATTTGGTTTCGGTGGTCGGGGATTCAGCCGAGAGGGGGGTAGGGACGTTGGATCTAACAAAAGAGGTGTGTATGAAAAGGATGGAGGTGATGTAAGGCCCGGCAGTAGGGGTTGGGATGGCTTCGAGGACCGGCACGGTTTTGGGAATCGCGACCAGGGGCCTCATCGAGATGTGAGCTCGTCTCGGGAAAGTGGCTTAAATAGGGAAAATACTTTTAATAGGGATCATAGACGCATCCAAGGTGGAGAGAATGATGCCGGCCGAGGGCGATTTGGAGGCGATCGTTTTCCGAGAAATGGTGCTTCCAGTGACTTTTTCAGTGGGAGAAGCTTCACAGGTCAGGAACCAGCTGCTGGGAGAGAGAGGCGGCCATATGAAGGTTATCATTTCAACGTATCACATGGGCGAAGTTTTGAAGAGATCCATGGCTTGGACAATTTTCGACCGTCTCAAGGAGTGGGAATAGAACCGCCCGTGATTCCAATGTTTGGTTTTCGGAGGAAGAAGGAGGAGGCGAAGGAGTCGGACTTCCGAGATGAGGAAAGAGAGGCGTTTGAAGCTGAGTTGGAGAGAGTACAAAAAGCTCAAGAGCTAGATCGACAGCGTAAATTGGAAGAGAAAGAGCATGCTGTTGAAATGGCTCAGAAAGAACTAGAAGATCGTGAAAGACTGGCGAGAGAAGAGGAAGAAAGACAGGTGATTTTAGTTCAACCTTTCACTCACACGTACAGTATTAAACAAACTGTACTTCATTGTGCTTATATTTAGGATTTTCAATGTTTGTTGCTGAAATTTATGTCGAATATGATTTGGTGGGTTTGTGGCCTTTATCAACCTTAAAAAATGGATGAGGTTCTTTCTTGTGGTTTAGGATTTTCTCGAAACTCTAGTGTTTGATGAAGTTTATCTTGTTATGTTTACTGGGGCGTTACACTTTTTGTACATTACCTGAAGCCCGAGCTTGTGGGATTATTGATGACATTGAAAGCTTAGTATTTAAAAATTTCTTCTTGCTGGGGTTTTGCCCTGAATGTTCATCCGCAGGCAAGATTAGAGGAAGAAGCCAAAGAGGCAGCTGCTAGAGCCGAGCGGGAAGCGATGGAGGCAGCTCAGAAGGTGGAGGATGAGCGAAAAGCTAGAGAAGAAGAAAAGCGACAGTTGCAACTTGAAGAGGAGCGAAGGAAGGAGAATGCCCGTCGTAAATTGCTCGAGCTAGAAGAGCGCATTGCAAAACGAGAAGCTGAGAAGAAGCAACAAGATGAAGCCAGGTCTTTGATAAATACTATCACACGATTATCTGGTGGATTTTGGCGAAGGGTGCATTGATGTTCCTTCAAAATACACGATGATATTTAAATAATTCCTGCTAATAAGAGAGACTTAACCTGGTGGATCTGGCTATTTTTTGTATTTCTGCTAAGGTCATATTCTTGATGTTTGTCAAAGAATACATGGTGAGTCTTAGGCACAGTGTAGGGATCGTTTCCGTGTTCATGAATTCTGTAAGTTAAGATCCAAGCCGGGCTTAGCTGTAGCTTATGTTCCTTTTTAACCTTTGGGAATTTTCAACGACCTATCCGGAAAAGATCGATAAAAAAAAATACAGCCATTGCATGCTATTCCCACAAGTCTCAAAGTTAGAGGAAGATAAAGTATGTAGTATCAGTCTAATATTATTTTCTATTTTCTGAAAGTTTAAATACGAATGCTTTCTATTTGTACGAACAGACTAAACGTGGAGGACAAGCCTGCAAATGCGTGGCAGAGAGGAGAAGAGGAGCTTAGACCGCGGGATGATGATGACAATGTAGAGGAAGAGAAAATGGTTGCGAATGTTACTGGGAATGCTCATGGTGATACTGACCGAACTTCGCTGCGGCCCTCAGTTGCTATTCCCTACTCCCAGGAGTCTCAGAAGGCGTTACAGAACGAAAATACTCTCTTTGTTAAGCCTTCTGAAATGCAGGCCCCGTCTGCAGGATCATCTGCCCGTGCTGAACTACGTGGGAGTAATTCTGCATCTGAAACTGAGCGTAAGACCTTTGGGCATTGGCGGAGGGAGCAGCCTTCGGAGAATGTCGTTGGATCAGCAGCACAGATGTGTCCTCCTTTTGGTGGGAATGAAAGCACTGATTTCCAAGCTTCAGTTTCTCGTGATCGGGTGTATAATGGTCGCGGTTACGGAGATAGGGGAGAAAGTTACTATGGCGGGGCCCCGAGTTCTGCGGGGCTTTCCTCGGACGGAGGCCCTGGTGAATTTTCTAGAAGATCTCCTTTTAACGATCAACGATGGTTAACAGAAGAGCCAGGGTTCTTCAATAAACAAATGAACTTTAACCGGGTCTCCAATTCGGACTTTGAGAGTGGACCCTTGGAGGGTTCTGAAGATAGAGATGATCGACGATGGGGTAGAGATAGGATGGAGCGATGGCGGCCTGGACGAGAAGGTTACAGCCAACGACCATCTCCACCACAGACCCCGCCTCACTTCCAAGGCTTGGACTCAACAGAACCTTCCTCCTATGGTCGCCTTCGCCATTCTTTGTCGAAGCAGCCACGTGTTCCTCCTCCACCGGCAAGGATGGGGATCTTTCGACCACCACCCAAATCCTCTAGCGAGCAGACATTTGTAGCAAGTTCAGAGGCGAAGGACGATGACACCCGGGGTGTATTGCCACGACGTGAGTTAGATAATAATTTCGGTTTTTCTGGTCATGAGAATAACGATGAACAACACGCGAAAGAATCCAGTGGAAAGACTACTGCTGCAGATTTACAACAAGAAAACGCTTCACAGCAACGAAGCAATGCTTGGAGTTCTACTCAGAGGGGCTGGCAGATCAACACAACTTCCTCTCTCACTCCGCAATGCCCTTTTGCGCAGGTAACCTAAGCTTTTTTTAGTCTTTTTGAACAATATCTTTGTAATTATGATTTTAATACTTGTGTCGATACTTTTGTTTGTTCAGTTTTGCATTTGATTTCTTACGAAGGGTGGGTTGTCCAGGTGTCTCAAGGTCTCTCACATGATAATTTGAATTCGCAACCCTTTTCTCCATCACAAGAGAAAAGTGAAAATAAGCAGAATGGGGATTCTCCCTTCTCTAGTCTATCACAGTCAGAGGACGATTATGAGCAAAAAGGCTCAATAGATACGTTGGTCATTTCAGAAGTTGATAAGCAGGAGATGCATGTACAATTCGAGGATCTAAATGATGATCTGGAGGATGTCGCGAGTCCAACTGATGTAAGTTTCATCTTCGCAGCTGTCTCGCTGGGACATACTGGCACTGCTTGATTGCTGTTTTAAGTAATACTCTTTCAATGGTTTTCGTATTATGATCAAGCGTTTGGTTACTTGCGACAATGCTGCAAACGCTACGTACTTTGGTCATCAAGTTTTGAAACCATATATGCTCCCTTCGTCAAATTGGTCCCACATGCCCATTATAAGATGTTCAGGCTTGAGCTTTGAAGTGTCATATTTTGGTGTCCAAGTGAAGCCGTTAATCTGCGAACTTTAGAAGCTCTTGAGGGTATTTCCGAGCTCTCGACATGTCGTGCATTTGTTCATATTTTAATTGTTTACTAATCCCCTAGTATTGATATAGGATGAGGAAGATGAAGATGAAGATGAAGATCACGAAGGTGATGAGGAGGGATATGAGGCTTATGAGGGCTATGATGAAGACGAAGACGAAGACGAAGATAACGATGAGGACGATGAACTCGATGGAGTAGACGGTGGAGTTGGAGAAGCAGTTGATCAAGGCTCTGATAGGACTGAGATCGCCCTTGGGGATGTCAAAGATGAGCACTTCATTGCGCAAATCATTGAAGATGAAGGGGATAAATTCGATGATGCCAATATAGAGCAAGATGCAGCCGGAGAGCTCGCTAACTCCGCACATGTACAGGTAGGGAGCGCTGCTTTGATTGGTGTGGTTTGCATTAGCTATGGTCATAATCCGCGAATTAAGAATGTTTCTGCAAGCTTATCGCATTTTGCAGTAATTTTGTAGTGTACGATGGGCATTCATGGTTGGTTTTAGTTGCTTTTGTGTTCAGTTATGAGATTTTTCGTGTGCAAATATCTAACATCGGCCTTGTGTGTTTTATCAGATGACTGAGGATGTGGGGAGTGGATACCTGCCTCAAGAGGAGGCTGAACAAACAAGCTTGATACCCTCGGTTACTGGGTTGGTCGAGGTGTCTGATTCCTGCGATGTCCGACAGGGATTTTCACAACAGCTGCAACCACCTCCTCCCCTCATGGAATTTTCAACCTCACAAAACAACGACACAACAATTTCTTCTTCTGTTGGGCTATCTGGTCTTCATCATTCCTCTGAAGTTCCGATGACATTACAGTTTGGGCTCCTTCCTGGCACGTCATTTCTTCAGGGGTCAGTTCCTGCGATTCAGATTGGATCAATCCAGATGCCACTCCATGTTCCTCTTCATACTGGTCTTCAACAGTTTCCTAATTCGTCTTCCACAGCTCCTCCAATCCAGTTCGGACAGTTGGCCAACCCACCTACAGTACTGCAATCGACATTTGTTTCAAGTCAGTCGAACGTGTCGAGAAAAGTCCAAGAGAAAATTTCAGAGCCTGAATCTGTCTCTAAGGTGAGCTTGTAGTCTCCGAAGTTTCTGTTTATTTTACGCATTACTGGTTCTGATTGGATCGTATCAGTTGAGTTCTTGGCAACTGATTTTGCACAAGAGTCGTGCTGGCTAAATTTTTGTTTGAATTGTTAATTTCAGCTACTGACTGATACTTCGTTATGAAATATTTTTGTCTCATTTAAAGCTACGGGATTAATGTTAGCCAAGCCCTTCGTGCTACTTCTTCTTCTCCAATACATTTGGATTGCTACTTCACGATTTTTATTACTTTTGTATTGTATTTGTGCATGTAGGTGGTAAATGAGCTACAAGACACTGTTACAGTAACTGCCTTGATCCAAGCCCAGCCTGAAAAAGAACCTATCTCGCTTCAACCTCAGTCGCCGTGGATAAATCAATTTTCTTCTGTAGATCACAAATCACCAGTGGAAGTGGAAACAAAGGAGACCAGGTCCACAATTGGAAAACTAGGCCAGCGGTCTGAAAGGAGGGTGCGAGATAGAGGAATGATTCGTGAAGGTCCGACCAGCACAATTGGTCCTGAGACCTACCCACGCCTCAAGAATTCCCGCCGAGACCCGGGCAACCAACGTTTACACCAAGACTACACAGCTTCACAAGGTACGATCGTATATAATAGGATTTTATAGTTTATTATATAAAGTCAATTTCATAAATTATACAGTATTGGCATGCTTTTTTTTTGTTCACTGAAAGTTTTGTTTTCCGGAAAGCTCTAAATTTGTCATCATTAAAATTATGTGGACCAGTGTTCAGGGAAATGTGAACCTTGGAACTGGAAAGGATGATTTATGTCTGTGATGTGACGTCATTTGTTTCAGACAACTCTTTTTTCGATCCAGTTGGAGGGAATGAGAAATATGGTGGTCGAGGAAGAGGGAATCGACCAGGAAGTGTGCTTGGACGTGGTGGGTTTCCTCATTCTGGAAGATATTCTCCTCACAGCACCTATGATAATGCAGGTCTCTCTACTGGAATGGGTGCATCTTCCGCAAGTTACGATGGAACAGCACTTCGACCGCGTTCTAACCGGCGTAGCAACTTCCGTCGAACTGATCTTAAAAGCCGTGATTCTGCTGAGCTATTATCCGAAGCTGCGGGAGGAAAGTTCTCTAAGCAAACGATGAATGCTTCCACCGAGAATTTGATGGCCGGTACCAACGGAAAAGATGGTTTCAGGGATGCCAATTTACATCCGCAAGAAAGTACTTGCTCTGGAGATAATAGTCGAAATTCCCGACCTATGTTCGAAGGTGCATCTTCATCAAAATCTGACCGTGCCAGTACTACCGACGTCTTGAAAAAAAGTGGTGGAAAACTTTCAGGGTCTTCTGATAGTGTTTCCCATTCTGTTGAAGGCTTACTTGGAAAGCACGCGTCTGAATTAACGTCGGATGCACCTTTACAATCTGGTGTAGTTCATGTTTTCAAGCAGCCTGGTATTGAACGCGGGGACGAAGACGATTTTATCGAGGTTAGATCAAAGCGACAAATGTTGAGTGATCGCCGGGCAGAGCGTGAGAAGGAGATAAAGGCTAAATCAAACCTGAAGGTGCGTCTGATTTCATGCTCTTCTTGACTATTCTCTTAAAATGTTCTACTGATATGCTGGTATTACACTTTTTTGGTGCTGTACATCGTTGATGTTTATTTTCCCTGCGACTTGGCTTACCTGAGACTTAGTTTTCTATATTTGCCTGTCGTGCATCATGGGTATAAATTTGATGAGTGCATAATTTTCCTTACAGGCGAAGGAACAAGCAGCTAGGAAGCAGAGGGGCTCTGCAAAGTCGGGGCTTCAAATGGAAGGCGTATCGGGACAGGGAAACAAACCTGGTGGATTTTTAGATAAGCGTGCATCTAATAATAGCACAGAAAATTCTGGCACTACCACTCGTACGCTCCAACCAGGAGGTACTACTTCAACTGTTGCGTCAGGCACAGCGGTAGCCACAAGCTCTCAGGGCCTTACACTTGCTCCCATTGGCACTCCGTCTGGTGGATTATCTGATATACGTGCTAATGCGTCCAAGTAAGCGAATGATGCTTTAAACTCATTTGTCTTGAACCAAAGTAACTTCATGAAGAAGTCCTTGATACTTGATTTTTTGCGTGCTCTCGTTGACATAAGTATTTTTGAAGTACAGATCTTCTCGATCGAATTCAGTATCAGGAGGTAGCTTAGTCGATTCTGAGCTTGGTGCTGCAGCGGCCACTTCTGATAGTCTAAACCAGCATCAGGAGAGTTCGTCTGGCACACCAATTGCGTGGGGCGGGACTCACTCCACCAGACAGGTATTTTTCTTACAATCTACACATTAAACTATCTGGATCTTAAATAGTGAAATCCGTTCTTAATGAACACGAAGGTGAGTAACCAAATGATTTACACTATATATGCTATACACTGTGGGGATATGTATGTTACTGGATATGTTCATAATCTTCGGTGTTAGCAGCTCATAGGTCAGTTAACTGTTTTGTCGTATATGGATTAGAAAATATACCTAGTTCCATCTCCAAAATGGAGCAATAAGAATCAAGATTTGCAGGTTCACTGTTATGTTGCGAGTTTTTGCAAATATTTATTTTGATTGCCTATCCTAGTAATTATTGTTTTCTCGGATAACTGATCACTTCGATGATCGTAGTGTGAAAAATCTTTTTTTGTTCGTCTTCGTTGAGAAAAATTATACTTATTACATTTTACCAGCAGGTGGTGAGTCTTACTCAGATTCAACTAGAAGAAGCCATGAAACCAGCTCGTTATGAGGCAATAGTCTCGCAGCAGTTACCTTTAGAAGCTCGGGGCAGTATGGTTCTAGACCCAGGAACAACTGTGGCTTCTATGGCGGGCAAGGACAAATTTTCTGTCCCTACGGCAGGACCAATCGGCTCACTTCTTGCGGGGGGTAAAATCCAGTTTGGTAGGTTCAGATATCTTGCTCTTTGTAGTTTGCAACCTTCTTCGTTGATGCTGGTGGTTGTAACTTGTATTTCAGCACTCAAAATTAATTCGAGGCTAATTTTTCTTGCATTTTGTGTTACTACTATCTCATGTGACTTGGCTCTTCACTTTGTAAGGTTGTCCTCGAGACAAGGATATATACATTTTACCCTTGGACAGTTTGTTGTACGTAAGCATCTTCAGATCTTACTGATCTATTTGTTCATTAAGGATGGAGATGGCGCTTTTTTTGCAGGGGCTGTGACTTCGCCTCCTCTTGGGGTATCTAACAGCCGTCCCCATACACCTGCTGTCATGAATGTAGTGGGTTCTTCTTTAGGATCACACGCTGATGATGCATCTGATAAGAACGATTTGAAAAAACCTAATCATATGTCCAGTTCAGAACTGGATATGCCTTCGTTTCCTACCAAAGGTCAGCTGATTCTTACTTAAATTTATGTGTATAAACCTAGATTATTTTTCAATTCTCTAAAGATGAAACTGCAAGACCTTTACTTAATTATTGAGAATTACTCGCGTGATCTGGATCTGTATTCTTGTTTCACAGTTTGTTTTACTTCTGCATTCTTATTTTTGGATATATCATAATTATTAGGGAAGCGTACACGTGGACAAGAGGATATTGCAGGAAGTACAGATGAGGGGATTGATGCTGAGGCTGAGGCTGAGGCAGCAGCATCAGCTGTGGCCGTGGCTGCTATTAGCAGTGATGAGTCAGTTTGCAGTACTCGAGAACCAATTGCAATTAGGAAAAATACAATAAAAAGCTCATTCGGCAGTGTCACCTCTTCAACAAATCACACTGGTATCCGCTTTGTCTCACTTCGTCGTTACTCAATAGTAATTCTGTTGAATGGGCCGTAATGTGGACTGGATAATGCCCAACGGTGCGACTTGGTACCGATATAACAATGAATGTCAACGGTGGAAGCAGGCTTTTGAACGTTTTGAGTGATTTTTAATTTGTTCTTTTAAGGTATGGGCCTTGTAGGTGTGCATTAGAACGTATGCGTATGTGCAAATGTACTGTTCTGATCCTGTTGTGGAAATACATGCATAGGTCTGGGTAATTCAGTGTCTGCCCACATGCAAAATCCCATGATGGAAGACTCAATGGCTGCAGCTCTTCCTGCTGATCTCTCAGTGGAACCCACCTCAATTTCAATGAGAGGATCACCGGGGCAGGGGTCAAGTTGTCTCTCTACCTCTGGCAAATCTTCTTTCTCTGGTTTGGAAATGAGCCAAATGCTGAGTTATTCATTTGGTCCTAGCAAAGATGTTGCCGTTATGCAGGGTTCCAATGACCAGGGGGTTCCAAGTGCTAGCCCTAGTGCGAGTGGTTGGCAACCACAGCACTCGAGCGTCGATTCATTTTATGGAGGTCCTCCTCCTTCTGGCTTTCCCGGCCAGTATATCAATCCTGGCGCAGGGATGCCTCCTCATATGCTGGTGTACACTAATCCATTTTCTCCAGTTGGTCAATTTGGGCAACTTGGCTTTATGAATCCAACATATCTTCCATCAGGCAAGCACTTCTTAGTATCTAGAACCTATTTCTCTTTTTAATATTGTTCTCCGTTTTTTGGCACTCATTTCTGGAACAGAAGATATTTGGCTGGCTGTTCTGGCGGGGATTTCTGAATTAGGTGTGTATGACCGATCTGGTCTGTGTCCATTTTTAGTTTGGATAAAATTCATTTTAGGAGTTATATTGAGTAATAGAAGCTTTCTTACGTGTAAAAATATAGGCTGAACTCTATTAACCTGTGGATAGATTCCTCATTCGCTTGCTCAGGTAAGCAGCCGGATTGGAAACACACTCCTGTTTGGTCATCAGGTCCAGGTGTTGTTGGCATGAGCAGCAATGACAGCCTAGGTGGAATGGCTGCTGCGCAGCGTGGGTCCGGAAATATTCAACGAATTGCTCCTGGCCCAGCTCTGGTGCCTGTTGTACAATCGCCAGGCCCATTTGATCTAAATCTATCAGCTCCGTTCCAGGTAAACAGTAACCTGTTGGCTATTTATGATATGCTCTCTGCCACATCGATTGAAAATCCCTCATAGATTGTTTTACTTTCATGATTGCATAATGCCATGGAATGCTTTTCCTACCGTGTACACTACAGGATTTTAAAAAATTCTTCAATTCCAAACCTCTTGTTGATTAATTAAGTTGATTAATTGTACTGCGTATACTGTGCGCTCATCCTTCCTGAGCCTCATAATCGCTTAGTTGCATAAAAACTGAAAAGTTAGGACCTGCCTGTTCCAGAAGATGATTGGTCTTTGACTATCTGGCAAGGTATGCATCAAATTTTTTAGTGGGGACTTTCATGTAGTAGGGGATTGGTGGGTAAGTAACATCGATGTCAGCATGTTCACATTGAAGTTGTGCGTTTCAAATTGGTTCATTTGAAGTGCTCGTATTTCCCCAAGCAGATTCCGAACGTGGACAGCTCGACGGGCTGGTCGCATGTACCAGGTCCGATGCATGTACCCATATCCTTGGGCTACTTGCAGCAGGGAAGACGAGGGCCCTCCCATTCAATGGAGAAGGATGGAGGGTTCAATCTTGGTCTAGCCTCCAACCAAGCGAATAATGGAAATTATACATCTATGGATACAGCTGCACAATTTCCAGATGAGCTTGGATTGGGTGATACATCCTCGGTTCCTAATATCACCTCTCCTTACGGTTCTTCTCAGAATTTGGGTAGAAGTGCCATAAACAACCAAGCTACATCTATGTCGTCATCAGCGCAGAGTATGAAACACATTCTTCACTCTGAGTGTTTTCGAGAATCTGATAGTTATTGCGAGTCTGTTGATCATAATTACAGATGACCTAACTGACATATTCTTTGCTTCATCTTGCTGTTGCAGATTGTCGTGACTGTGTTGATTGCAAGAAGTTTTCTTAGAAGTTCAAATGGTCTTGTCAGAATTTACGCATTGTACCCACGAAGTATTCTGATCGTGAAATTGATTGAAACAGGTAATGCTAAGTTCCGCAGTAATCGCCGTTCATCCAGGGTGACCCGAGGAGGCAACCTAATGAGTACTGGAAATGGAACTAATACAGGGTCAGTCAACTTAGGAATGGGTGTGAACTCTGGAGGTTACAATAATGCCGGAACAAATGGCGGTCGGGTTCCCCAAAATCATCTGCAACCCCAACCTCCACATCATCTTTACCCAGCAATGGGTGGTGTTGGACAACCTCATGCCCATCACACAATCAATCACTCTGATCAGAGAGGTCCCTCGCAACAAAATTCCCCTCGGGTGGGGTCCAGCAATTGGTCAGGGTCCCAAGGTCATCGCAAAGGGGTTGGTAATCAAGGACGCCCGCCTGCGGGTGAACGGGGTTCCACCGGAGAAAAAATGTTTGCACCCCCTTCAAAATTGAAGCAGGTGTGCATGATATTCCCTTTGCTAGTCACCCTCGTGTTTCGAAAAATTATTGGTGACTTATGTATGATACTGATTGGCAAATTCTGTAGTTGTGTCTCTGGTCAGGTGGAGTCGTGTGAATCTACTCCTCACTCCTTGTTCGAATCTGAAACAGGTCTATGTTGCGAAGCCCTCGTCGTCTCCAAGAAGGAGCAGCGGTGAAACCGCCATATTCAACGGTACAGGAGGCCAAGCAGCTGGTGGTCTATAATTTCGAACTATTTGTCAATTCGACGACGACTTATGGTCAGAATCGTGCTATCTCCTTTCCGAAGGAGCTTGGCAAGGGAGGGGGTATTACTCTCCACAGCATGAATTTCAGCCGGCTTCCCTCCAATATGTTAAACCATGTCCTCTAATCCTCTTGGGTCTTCACGTCTTCCAATTATTGGCTCTGATCTTCGATGTCTCCTCCAGCCAGGGAATCAGTTAGATTCATGCCGCTTGTACTCTAGAGCTTAGATCTGGGGAAGTTCACTCCTGGAATCCTGTGGAGTTAAAAGCATTCTGGTTCATTGCCTGTATGCCGCTCAGCTTCGGATTCTTCGTTTAGTTGCGCGTAATCCTAATTTTTCATCACGTTTCCAGAAGAACCTCATCTCCCAAGCCTAAGCCAAGCGGTTTCTAGGTTCAGTTTGTTCAGATTGCTTAAGCCGGTAACTGAGGCAGGGCTGTTGTAGCCGGACATGCAAAGCGAAGTGTCCGACAGAACCTGTGGCAGCTCTTACTTGTTTTCCAATGGAATATCAGTGGATCGATTTTGTAATGCATCACATTTTGTAGGCTACTAAGAAGGTTTGATCATGGCGAAGTGTGTAGAGACCTTGTGTAGATACTGTACCGACTCTTGTTGAATGCGCAGTTTATGCCTCCCCATAGTGGTCTGTCGTAAATCTTTCTGTTAACATTTGAATTTTTACCTAAAAAAACTTCCTGTACGACACGAGTAATTACTCTACACTTTCCATCTTTCAGTACATTTTGTATTTTAAGAACATTGAAAGGTTATTATTCAATGTGGATTTGAATGAAGGTCTTAAACTGTTGCACTCCATTGTACATTGCTGACAAGAATGTGTCTTTGGATTTGATAGTTAAATACAGCGGAGTCTTAGAACAACGTGCTTGTACATTATTATAATGAAACATTTCAATTAAAAACAAGTAACAAGCAGAGTGGACATACCAGGACAGTTTCTATGGTCTTTGCTAGGTCAATATCAGTACCAAGGCAATGTTTGAGTTTGCATGTATTCTTGTTATAATTTTGTTATTCTTGAATTATTTAGACCCATTTCCAATAAAAAAAAGTCATTTTTAAATTGATTTGGTAACTACTCCATAGTTATTATCTATAAACAAACTATCAATATGTAAAGAAGCATATGTGAATCATTTTTCGGATAGGGAGATATTCATTCATTAGCATCTATTTCATGAAAGGTATTAAATGATGTCAAATTTGCTTTAATGATATCAATTGACAAGTTGATTAAAGTGATTTTCTTTTATAATAATAAAATGCATTTAAAGTTTTAACAATATTATAAAATATTATATATTATATCACATATTTTTATTTTGTAAAGTAGAAAGTTTTAAGAAGATAATAATTTAATTAATAGAGCAAACAAGTTTATTGAATGCTAGCTTAGAAAATGTACCTTATTAGTAACATGGTAATTTTTCTTCTTCATCCATGAATGGATGTCATGCAATTTTAATATATATATATATATATGCCTACATCCTCCTACTAAGATTGGATTTTAGGACTAAAGGCATCTTCATCCATTGGCACCAACGGGATGGATGCTATAGGTTCATGGCACCTTAGCAAGGGCAGGTATAGAGTAGTATCCAACCACATTGGCAAGGTGGCCAATAGAAGCCATGCTTGGCACCACCGACTTGTCCCATTTGTGGCTTCTTTAGGAACCCCACTCTTAGTCCCTTCTCCTCCCAAAAAGTCCCCCCCTTTTATTAAATATGTCTCTTATTAAAGCTTTGATCTAAGTTTGGATGCCCCAACTATGGCAAGAGGAAGGAGTATACATAGCAAGCTGCCAAAGAAACTCTACATCTTGCCGAGGCTATTCAACAAGTCATGGTGGGACTCGTTTTGAAGCCAAGGCATGCAACATTGCCATTGGCTCTACCATTGGTGCCAATGGTGGCGATGCCTTAAGGAGAATATAGGCCAAGGAAGCCTTAACCGAGATTTGATACATGCCATGTATACTCACTACTTCTTCAATAGAATACCTTTGACACCATCCTTCCTTGCTATTGACTTTTGCAATTAAGTTTCAAGTTTTTCATATTAATCTTGATTTTTGTCCCACTTATTGCTTACAAATAGCAAGCATGGCAAAAAGAAGATGTGATGGTTATTTCTCATCTATGTGCAAAATTACCCAAGTACCACTTGGGCACCTTTCTTGTTGAAGCAATTAATTGAAATTGAATCAATTATATCAATTTATTTTGGTAAATGGATTGACTTAAAAATCAATTTGTGAATTTCGAAAGAGAAAAAGCAATGGAAAAGGCATGTTTCAACCTGTAAACACCTTCAAGCATTCAGAAAAATACAAAACTCAATGCAAAGGTAATTTTTATTTTCTGAGATAGATGAATAAGAGAAAAAAAGAAAAACATAATGGCACACTTCCACAACATAATTTTTTCTACAATTTTAGATTACAAACTTGTAATTGTTAATAATGATGGAAAATAGAAAAGTTTAATAATTATGAAAATAAATTATTAATAATTCATATAGTAGAATCATCAAAGTAAATCTAGGATGCTTTTTCTGGTATATATGTGTGGGTATCCATTTTTGCACTCCGCTGATTTTTTGTGGTGCTTTTAGTTGGTGCTAAAATTTATTCCCTAAGTGTGAACCCACTTCTTCAATTCTGACCATCTTTCATTTTGACCACCCCTTTCAATTCTGACTAGTAACATTGAGAATTTTCTTAGGTGTATTTTCTAGAATTTTCTATGAAAATCTTAGATATATTTTCTATCATTATCAACATCATGATTAATTATTAATAATAAGATTATTTGTTACACAAAAGTAAAATTTAGAATTTTTATTCATTTATTTGTTAGGTGTTATAGTGACCATTGGTTTGGCTTTGTATTGACCACATTTAGATCCTTCATTTTAGGAAAATCTGGAGTGTCAAGAGAAGATTCAACTACAAAATTTGATATCTTCCCAATCTTTTAGTATTATATACAAAGACAGATAGTTGAGTAGTAATTGGATTATATTATTGTACATCCTTAATAGACTTCAAAAAAATAATATTTAGATCCAATTACAATACAAATTGTAAAACTCAATTAGAGTAGTGCTTAGCATATCAAATTTAGGAGTTGGAATAAATTACCAAAATGTATTATTTTTCCTCTATCAATAGTCATATTTTCCAATAGACAAATAAGTTACAAGTTGCCATGTTTTTAAATTCAATTCTAACGACATCAAAGAAGTATAAAAAGTTACATTAGATCAAAGATAGATTCAATCTTGATCTATTTAATATCTCTATTTACTACAAAACTTGATTCCTTTAATCACCTTTTAAAGTCCAACTTGAGTTCAAAAACTTTGACTTGATAATAGTCCTTCCAAATAATTTTTAAGAAGAAATGTCATACAATAAGAAATAAAATACATTAGATATCTACAAGCCAAACATCTAATTTTTTTTTTGCAAATAAAAAACCAACTTAGCACAATAATACATTATTCAAAAGAACATAATGTTAATAATAACTTTAAGTACTCTTTTTATCTACCTTCTCCAATACAAAATTATATGTGTTATTTTTATTCTTTTGTTGTCTTGGCTTTTGGATTTAGAATTGTTTAACATAATAACCAAAGATATCAAAATCTAAATAAAACTCTTTAAAATGTAATATATATTTTTGTGTTTCATAGAAATCCAATAGTTAAAATTAATAAAATCAATAGAAAATAGTATAAATTGTATTAAAAATAAACTAAATATAAGAAAGGATATTGAAGTTAAAAAAAATTAATCTTAAGAAAATATTTGTAGAAAGTATTAATGTGTATTGTTCTAAAAAGTGTGGTATAGAAACTTGATGGCAAGTTCTTTGCAATTGCAAAATACTTCATATAATTAAAATTTCTAAATAATTATAATAATTCTACATTTATTTAAAATAATTCACAAATATAAAATTATAAGGAGTTGTGTTATAACTTAACTATTGGATAAAGACCACAACATATAAAACACTTGATTAAAAATTTTAAAAACTTTTAAAAAATTATTACTATATTTGATAGTTAGAAATATATATATATATATATATATATATATATTATAAGAGAGAACTTTTATTTATATTTTAGGACTATAAATTAAATTTAAAATAATAATATAATTATTGATTTAATAAAATTATCTTTAGATTAAAATTAAAAGTAGAATTTTATAAAACTTATCATAAATAGATTAGATTGATATTTGGAAATGTCAATAAATAAGATATAGTTGAAATTAAACCTTAAGGCACAAAGATTAGAACCTATGGCAAAGACGTAGTTTTTTTGGCTATAAATAAAGTGGCATTTAGAAGAAGTCTTTAAGCACGCTCCAAAATCTATTAGAATTTATCAAAGGTCTCTTAGAAACTTGTTAGAATTTTTTAAGGATTTGATAGGTTTTGCTTATATTTTACTTAATTTTGTTTTGAAATTTCATTGGGTTTCTTATAGATTTCTTGAAGCTTTCAAGTTTGTTTAGAATTTTGTTGGAATTGTCATTAGGATTTGTTTAGAGATTGCTGAGTTTTTTTTTTAAATAAAAGAGCATGTCTTCTTAACTTGTCTCAATTCTTAATTCTCTAACTCAAATTAGAGGCAAGTCTCTATCTTGTAATGTAATAGTACAATCAATTGGACACTTTTTTCTTTGATTGTGATTTGTGTAAAATTTGAAAAAGAGATTGTTAAATTTCTAAGTTTGTTTTATGTCAACTAATATTGAACCCATATATTAAATTTGTTATTTAGTACCATACTAATCATATTAGAGAGGATAGTCATATTGCACATTCTATCGGAAGAGAAAGTGAAATATATTCCGATATTTTCACACGCCATACAAGTTATCAACTCATGTCTATGATCCTGGTCTGAGACCCGACTAACCCCCATATGATTGAGAGTAAGTTGGAAGTGTTGATTCAGAGCTGCAAACTCTGTCCTCGAGGTTCTAGTTTGTTGTGTCGAACCTGCGAGGTGTTGATTTGTCGAGGTTGCTGTGTCATGCTTTCTTCAGTTCAGTAAGTGTAGTTTGCTTTTGCGAATTGGGTTGAATTCAAGAGTTGCACTGGCAGCGTTCCACTTCAGGGCTGTTACGTGACTATGGACTTCAATTTAACAATCCCTCTCGAACCCAGCCTGACCTTTCATCCCATCGAGATCGAGTCTCTCTTCTTCGGAGGCCCTCCAGCGCATTATCGACATGCGCCTCAAATTGCTGCAGTGGAGAACCACGAGGCTCACGCTGTTGATGAAGTGCCCGCCTTAATCCCACAATTCCAAGCTCCATAACAAAGATTGTAAATTTGGTTTGCCTGTGGTTTCTGCGGTGCATGAAGTACCTGAGATCGGTTCGAAACTTCAGCAACGGGTCATGAAATGTGGTGCTCTAGTAGGCTCATCGCTTGATGCGTTGTGCGATGTTGGGAGTCATTTCACAGTGGAGCCTTTTTCACACCACGAGACTCCATTGTCAATTTCCTGGGATGAAGCCAACAAAGTGGCCATGTATATAATCAGCTCGCTCACAAGCTCACCTCAATGCAAGTTTCCAAAACTTCATTCCACGTTCAATCATCCAGATGAATGTGTCAAGAATTAATCCTACATGTGAGCTATGTTAATACATCTATTAGCGGTGGTAGAACTGTGAAACTCAGGCACCTAATTTTCTATTTATTCCAGGTTAAATATGTTTCTTTGATAATTTTAAAAAGTAACAATTAATTAATTAGTTTTTATAGATTCAATTTTACCATGGTGTTTTAAAACACCTAATTAGTCCAGCAACCTTGTGAAGCTTTCAAACCTTGTTTCAATTTTTTATAAGTGTATTTTTCTACAAACACATTATTTTTTATCATGTTTTTTTATTACAATTCAATAATAAAATATAATAAAATTAATTACTTTTGGTAAAATTATTTTCCATTGAATACAATAATAAAAAATATAAGAAAGAATGTTTTCTACAATAATTGTAAAAGATAGTTTGACCAACATATGTTGTGTTGTTTTTGAACAAGTCTATGTATATATCCAGGAATAAAAATACAATATAAATTGACCATTGTACATTATTAATAATAAACATAATATTTTAAGTTATTATAATTTCATATAAAATATATTATATTTTGAATATAACTATTGCAACCAGCTGTAATTTTATCAAGAGAATTAGGGAGTCTCATAAAAAAATAATAATATTATTATAGTTGATGATTGTTTTTTTAAGTTCAAATAATTTATTTATGTATGAATGTGTGTGTATATACATGTAATTATTTATTAAAAAGTTACATGATTTCATAGATTTTTTCATATCTGAAAATTGATTCAAAAATAAATAATATAAGAATTTAACTTCCTGAAAAATTTTGAGTTACAAAAAATCATTCTTTTACCAACCATACTTTAAATTTAGATCACTGAAAACACTTGTACGAAAGTCTAAATTATTTAGATACTATTTAATAAACAGTATTCAAAATGATCACTGTATGATTAATTACGCTAAATTGTTCTCCTGAGTCTTACTCATATTTAAATTGTACGAAAAAAAATTCCATTCCGTCATAAGAAAACTTGTTTGAATTTACCCTTGTAGAAGTAGGAGATATTCTATGAAAATTTATTTATGTAAATTGCAATAAATATTCTTTAAATCTTTAAAAGTGTATTTTTAAATTTCAATGAGAACACGTCAAAATAAATAAATAAATAAATCAAAACATTCCAATAGGTCATTTCAGTATTTCTTGTGAGCGTGGGAAATTATGTTGAACAAAACGACAGAAGAGTCTGATAAAGTGAGTATGCTCCACTCTAACTCCAACCACTAAATCATAAGGTTGAATAAAACACAAACTGCAACAATGATATATACAAATTCATTAATCTACAAAAGTTGCACTAATATCCTTAGAAAATTGATGAGCATTGCAACACAATATGCTAAGATAACTATATTACTGGACAATCAAAAAAATTGAAACATTGCAAACGTGGAAACGCTGCAAATTGCTGGTGTATTCGGAGAACAGTGTTTTACAGCCCAGTCTCCACTGTTGTTGAACTACAAAATTCAAGTACTACCTTACAGCTGTACAAAGATTCCGAACGATGAATTCAGAAAGGTCAATTGTGAACCGATTATGACTAAAATGACCCCTGCCTAGGTGGTGAAGACATGATAGGAGTATCAAGAACTCTGAGATTACTCTGATGTTTGGCTACCAAATTTCTGACAACTAATTAGGTAATCAGCAGAATTAAACTGGTCCTAGAGATCCAAATTCCAGCTCATAAGGAAGTACTGTACTTGCATCATTTAGGTTGTGTTGCAATATAACAGCTGGTGCTCTTGTGCCTGTTCTAGGATGACCATTGCTGTTTGCAGTATAAGACCCAGCGGATGTGGTTTGATTCGCAGGTGCGGAGATTGGACTCGGGGGAGGTGAACCTCTTCTATCCATTGTCTGCTGCACCGAATTAATGTTTCTCTCCGGGTCAGACGCAGGACTCTTCTGAGGATTCACCATATATTGAGCTCGAGGTTCGTGCTTGTTGTGCTGTCCACGACCTACAAGAACCAACACTACGTGATCAGAAGGATAGAATTTGTGTTGATCTAAAAATTCGTAGAATTTGCAAATGCTGAAAAAAAAGGAAAAAAAACGGAAAGAAAGTAAACTAATTTCACTATATCCTACTAAAGAAAAATAAATAACTAAATAAACAAAATCCCTCTAGGAAATTCAAATACCAACATACGGATACCTTGTCCTAAACTCCTGTACCGAGATGTATGTGATTGGTTTACTCCTTCCCGATCTTTCCGATCCTGCTGGCTATGAGCTCCATGTTGATTGCCTCCCCTTGCTCCAGAACCTACCCTCTCTCGAGAGGTATATGCGTGCCTCTAAGAAGATCATCATCCGTTAGAAAGCTAGACGAGTTGAAGAAGCTCCAATAATAAGATAACTGAACCTACATATCTCAGGAAATGACATGACAAACCACTGTTCTGTATCTCCAACCAATTTCAGAGACCAAAACTCTCAACAACTATGTGAAGCAGTTACCGACCACTCAACATAGGCTCACTCATCAATAACTGCTGCAGTGCATGTCCAAAGGATGACTAATCTCAACGATCAAGTGAAGTACCGCAGAGATACTGTTCTGAAGCTTGAAATTTCACCACATCGAAGCAAATAACAGTAGCCATTCATGAAAATCGACCCATTCAAGAAATTTTTACTTTACACCACTTGAAGTGAATGCTCTAGCGTCCAAAAGCATGTGATCATAATATAAACAAGCAGCTATATCTAGCCACGCATAGTTGATAACATCTTGCCCCAAAATGTTGCTAAGAAAAAACTAAATGCACGAGCATACAAATCCATGGAAATTGCTAAAGCATTGCAATTAAAGGATTCACAAGATACAAATAGATAATAAAATCTTACCGGCTTGGGAATGTAGGTGCCTGTGCCATTCCTAGACTTAGGTAAAGTACACACACTGTCGTGGACAGGAAAGCTCCGCGGTGTATGTAATCCCTCTGCCATTCGCTCATGAGAAGGATATAACGGCATCGTCAAACCAAATGGATATGGAATGTTCGGACCAGCATGAAGGTCCAAGTTTCCATGAAATCTGGTTGACCCCTCCCATAGTTGAGGAACTTGTTGGAACTTCATAGCAGAATTAGAACCTGAAAAATCCGCATTAGAATACTGCATTGAGCGCCGAAGCTGCTTTTCGTGGGTTGGAAGGTCGCCACGGAGTATGTCATCCTGCAGGTCACCAGGAATACCCTTCTCACTAGTACTCTCCACATGAGGTGTTTCCATGTGTTTTCTGTTGCCTACCCCTGTCGGCCGCTCTGCAATATCCACACCAACCTGCAGTTCCAAGAATCTTCAACTTGGGATTTCTAATAGGAGATGGACGGAAGATCTGGAAGTATCAACAAAGATCTAAGGCAGCAATCATGGGAAAGACTATTACCGAAATGAATAAAGTATGTCCTTTGCATGGAAACCCCGTAGAGAAACAGCTATGACAAATTGACCGTGCTACAAGGTGTCGAGGGTACGATATAAATACGAAAGAAAAGGCATGCACAAAAAAACTAATTCCTCTCCGGACAGAAGGTACTGACAAGATCCTGGCAACAGTAATTAGGACTTTCTATTTTAACTAGAAATCCAAACATACTTCGAGACAATGAAGACATGCAACAGAAAAATTGAGCCCAGAAGTGCAGAAGCAACGCATGCAAGGACTAGTAAGAGGTAATCTGAATCCCTAAAGCAAAGAACTAACCTGTGGCATAGTCCTTGTTCTCGAATCTTCAGATGACTGAAATCTAAGGGTGTTTGTTGCAAAATCCATGGAGCAATTGGAATGCAGGGAACCTACAGAGTCGACTCTAACAACACCATCCGTTCCCGCGGGAAGGATAAGAAAAGGGGAGTAGCACAGGCTTCGGCTATAATACATTGGTTGGGGAGATGTCATGGGCATCAAAACAGTCCCCGTTGGGCACTTTCTGAAGGACGGACCGATTGAAACGGATGCGAACTCAGATATTGGGGGAGGATATGAACCAGTACTGCAAGATACACCAACAGATACAGGCGTAACCGCCACTCTCTCTAATGTGGACGAGGAGGTCGACTCGGTTCCAGAACCTCCTTGATTGTTGGGCGCTTGAAGTGACTGGTGTGACGCCATTCCAGCAGGTTCCAGTGTCACAGAGTGAACCGAAGAGCTTCTATGATAGTTAGGGACAGCCATAGGCACCGTCTCCTCGTAACTATGAGCTGAGGTAAATGGTGGTAGGTGCGCTCGGGGAGCTTGAGAACTTCCAATACAGGCATCTTCTAAATTTCCCTGACTAAAGCACTGCAGAGGCAGATCAGCTGCGTTGCCATCCACACTTCGAACAACTTCCATTTCACACTTATCATTATGTGATCTAGCTTTCCTGTAAACCTGTTTATTACCATTTGTGTCTTTCAAAGATTTTCCTGCAGACGCCTTCACATTCGAGCTATTTGAGATACTTTCTCTGTTTTTCAACCGTGGTTCCAAATATTCTGTCCTTTCTCCCATTTTGCAAGAAGCTGCACGTTGTCCCTCATCACCTAACGATGACACAGACGGGCTTTCATTAACTGGTGAATGCATTTGCAAACCCGCCATCTCGACAGCACAACCACGACCTCTTGAAGCAGCATTTGATTTCCCAGAAACTTGAGGCAGCTCTGGTGAGGCACCAATGAAGGGAATCGCAGACCCAATGGATACAGGTGGATTTCCAATGAAAACAGAGCGAAATGGAGAGGCATTGGGGCTGACCGAAACCCTTTGCAGTGGCTGCGCTTGGTCCTAAGCACAAAACAGGCCGGAGTAAAGAAACCGCTGACAATCGTTCCAAAAATAAATATAATAATAATAATAACAAAAACGGATTAACAGTCACCTGATAATTCATTGACGTACAAAATCGAATGCACCTAATCTACAGAAAGATCACTGGTATGAAATAAATACTACAACTAGGATGAATAGGACACAATACAGGTGAACATTACCCAGAAAAAGCACCAGAACCATTAATAAAAATCTCAAATTCATGCGACTTTAGGAAGCTAACAAGAAATGTCATTCTAAAGCACCTCAAAGAAAAATATGATAACGTACATCATCAAAAGATTATGTATCACAACGAATCTCACCTCAAGAGGTGACCGGCGTTGCTCCAGCTGCTCTTCCGCATGAAAGGAAAAGCCTCCGATGTGACTGCCAGCACTATCTCCTAAAGTTCCAACCGAAATAGTGTACGCTGGAGTTGCTGAAAAGGTGGACGGCATGCACGAAATCTGCATGGGTGGGTGAGAAGTCGCCCGATTAAGAGCCGAATCCCCTGACGGAGAACTAAGGTGAATGGCACGAAAACTTGATGCGGAAGGAGGTCCTGCTAAACCCAACACAGGAATAGGAATGGCAGAAGGTACTGCCAAATGCATTTGAACAGGGTGGACATATGGTAGTAACTGTACATGAGGAGCAAGATTGGAATACAACAATGACTGTGACATAGTGTGACTACCACGGTCCTGATTATGCCCCTGATAGGAATTATCACCAGGGAAAGTAGGGTCTTTCTGATGTATTACGCCATCATTATAAGTGGTCTTACTCTCCTCGGTTGCTACTCTTCCAGATATGAAAGTAGCAGTCTCGTCATCGGAAGAAGTCTTGGACAGAAAGTTTCTGTGGCTAGAATTGGTTTTAAATTCCCCTGACGGTCCAAGGGATCCCCTTTGATCAAGACTCGGATGGGCAAGGCTTTCGTCGGAAAAATTCCTGCTTCGAGACAAATCACCATGTCTAATGGAATCACCTAATGAGGATTTCAGTCGCAATGAATCTGGAGTCGGTTCCGTTCTTTGATATTCCCCAACCATCGGAGTTTTAGAGTGATTAGCAAATTCGTGCTCCTCACCAAACCTGTACCATATGAAGCTATAATTAGGTACACCAAATCCAAGATATGTATAAAAATAGTAATTGTCCAGGAAAAAGAGGGCTCAATTACAAATCACCTGCGATTGGTACTTCTTTCAAAGTGCTCCTGTGGAGAGTAATAATTGGGTCCTTTGGATTGCACCCTAGCTGAATCTGCATCAACATTAGTATACCGGCTTCTTCCATCAACTTCTCTTAACTGTTCTTCGGAACTCGCAACGTTCGAGTTGCCAGGAATTGCCTTGACAGATCCTGCCTCTGATCCTCTCCGTCTCTCTTGCTTATTATCTACTGCGAACGAAACTGTGTCCATGATATTTCCATCATCTCTACCACTGCTACAAGAGAAAGTTGTATCAATCGTTGTCGGGGAATCCCTTCTCAGCCTCGTGAAGACATTCTGCATATCATTCAACTGTTCTGAAACATCCAAGTCGCTACTAGGTTTGTCGTCTAACTGTACTGGCCAACTCCCGTACTGCGATTGAGCCCTGATATTATCTCCTGCATGAGTTAGAGATCTTTGAGATGAAACAAAATCTGCTCCGTTCTCTTGCCTGTATCCATCAGATAACCTCTCTTGCGGGTGGGCACTTCCAGCTCCTGAGATAGGATGCTGTAAGCCACGTAAATGAGGGATGCCACTGTCGGGTCTCCCAGCACTGCGATATCGCCCTAAACTTTTGAATGTACAAGAAAAGAATGACTTAAACTTTTCAGTAATCTGATCTTTGGGACATTCGAAAACTTCTCCAAGCGTACGTGCTCCTAAACCAAATGCTGAACGTATCCGCTTGAAACTTCCTGGAAACAGAATTCGATTAAAATTACCAAGACATCATCTACAACACTGGCTATGACCAGGGAAAGTCACAAACACAAATAAGTTGGAAAAATAAGAGGACAGTTGATGCCATTCCTCACATTAAGTACTCTTGGACTACCTATTAGCTGTCACGTAAAAGCCTTCAATCTCCAATACTGAATGCAGATGAAAGGCTTAAGGGCGTGGTTATTAAAAAACGCAGGATGCACCAGTGGTTGATGAAAGAAGTTTATATACGCACCAACATTAACACTGCGACCAAGATTGTTGGTGTGGCGTATTGGATCTAGAACATTCAAATACTTGGGGTTAAAAATCCGTCCTTGACTGCTCTCTGAACCAGCCCGGACATCTGAATACCGATTAATGCATTCCTCAATGAACTCCTCACTAAAGTACAATTTGCCCCCAACCTCCCAAGGAGACCTTGCAACAGTCCTCCATCCTCCATCCTTTTGGGAAAGCTCTGCAAGAACAAAAGAACTTTCCATCAGTACCTTTCGACAGTAAAAGGCATACAAAAGCACCACTGCACCGCTGGAGAGGTAGAAAACGGTATTTCTAAGTCTAAACAGTCCGACCATAGATTGGAAAGAAAATATATAATCAAATGAAATCCAACAAGACCATTTTTTTCTGAAAGCATTCATTGGTCCGGGTACACAAGTATACATAATGAGCAAGTAATTAGTAAAATTTAGCTATAGTTGCTGCGCCAAATTTGTCGTATCTAATTTCAACTTGCACTGAAATGGCATAAGCGAAAGTAACAGGTGATTACACAAAGTATTCTATTACCTTTGTGGTGAAAGTAAAAACTTAATAAAAACTTCCTATGCCGGATTCTTAAACTTGTTAAACAACCAGAAACCAGACAAAAGAAGGCACTGCATACCAGAAGAGTTTTTGGGAATATGATCCAGAGGCACTGGACCCCAAATGCTAAGACAGTATTGGTCCCAGTCAAAATTGCAGAAATAAGTCAGAAATAGATACAGCACCTGAGATACATTCGCAACAACGACAAACGATTAGAGACTCATGGTTCGCTAAAATTCCACTCCCATACTAAAATACAGAATGGTAAGCATGAAAAGAGTCGTGCTACATAACAACGGCCACATTAAATGAGGCTGTATCTTATTGTGCAGCTGCTATCAGACTCGAGGAAGGAACAACAATTCATAATATACAAAAATTGCAAATTCTAGTCCTAATTGCACACTTGCAGAATTCGCTGTAGAGCCAACCCATAGAAGAAATGTGCAATAAATCCACGACTACGCTCGACATATCCGCACAATAAACGAATGCCACAAATGTTACAATCTGACAACCGCGACAATTGCACAGAGCATGAAAGCACAACTTAAACCAGTGTAGCCAAAAATCATGGAGCTCAACATGATCGCCAACAATCACGTAACAAAGTTGAATAGAATAGTATGCAAATTACATGATATTCCACTGTGTTATTTTCTCTAAAACTAGATCTTTGCATACAGTTTTCAACATAAAAACGCATTGAAGATACAAGTGGAAATAATGTTTTTAAATAACTTAAAAAAACCATAAGATCACCAACCTCCAACGGTCCATGCAACGATCGCATGGAATGAAAGACGTGAAATATATACAACACAAGGGTCTCCAGAGCAAATGTAGATATAAGGCCATGGTGTGCTCCTAGAATGCGGCTCTCGTAATAGCACCACGCTTTCACCAATATAACGCTTCGTTTAAACAGATGATTCAGTCCTACCTCCTCATCCACCTGCAACCAAAAATCCAAGCACACCATGGAATCATTGCTAAGATTGAGTAACTTCTGACAAACCACCTCATTTTGCTAGATGGAATGGAATTAACATGCAAATGTACTCGCATTGGACAGAAATATTAATTCAATTATTACAGAAGGCACGCTTCGCCAAATTCACAATAATCATTCACTCATGACCGAGGTGATTACGACCACTATGATCAAGGCGGCATAACCACAAAATTATTGATTGGAGTGAAATTACAATTAATTTTGAAATAATTTGAACTTCTTCTCATTCTGGGCTACTCGTGGTGAATAAAATAATATGTGCTTCACTAGGAGGAAACTCCTTTGTGAAGAACAATAGCTTGCACCTGAGTTTAAACAAAATTGGATTTCACCAGGAGATTCATCCCTAATGAAATGTGTTTTTACCCAAATTATTATATCCAATAAATGAAATCTCGTATATTTTGCCGTTCATTTTAAGATGTGTTTCAATAACAATTATGGAAGAAGAAGACAAACTAGAAACTTGGAAAAAAAAGTATCCTAAAGCACAGAAAATTCAAGTAACAAGACAGTTCCTTTAAACACCAGTAACCTCCAGACACCTGACCTCTTCCACTTCGACGCAGGGATGATCTAACGCAATCTTCCAAATGATATCACCAAAAGACAAGAGTATGAGGTGCTACTTAAGCCGCACATTATCAGGTGCTACAGAAGTCGAATACAAGGGAGTCGTTCATGTACTTCTTAACACGTCGTTGCAGTTGCACCACATTAATGTGATTAAAACTAATATGCGCTGCACTTCACAGACTATACCACGGCACTTCACAAGCATCAGACATCTGGAACAACGATACAAATTCACAGATACTCGCAGAAGTAACGATAGTCTCATGCATCAAAAACCACAAGTGCTTCTCTGTGTGCGTCAGGATGCTAATCTACTACATAAACTACTCGGAAAAACAAATTACAATATCTCTACACAAATTGCCTCAAGAATGCAGTTAAGATTATATCAATCAGGCGCGACTTTTGACTACCAGATTCTTCTACCAGGAAGTTGAATGATATCAATGCTACTTCCTGAAGCTGTTTATAACGTTCAAACGCTCATACATTTAACATGCATTCAAAGACGTTAAGCCCTCACAATGCAAAAGCCACACATGTAATATAACCTAGAGTAAACAAACAACACACTTGTCATACCCGTTCAAGGAAGCAAAGAGTAGAAAGACCCCCAATTTGGTTGAACGAAATATCCACAACAATATTCTCCACCAAGCATTTGATGAGTTTAACCTGTGCAATGGAATGCAACTTCAGAAAACAACGGTAAAATCTAAAGTTATACGAGTCACAGAAGCAAGAGAAGAAATTGTATTTTAAGCGGAGAAATTATCCATCACATTGAATCAACCTAAATAAGAAGAGAAGGGGAAAAAAAGAGAGAGAGAGAAAAACCATTAGACATCCTTACTTCAGCCTGTATATATTGAACTTCTTTCACTCGAAACTCGGCATCAGCATCATCCTCAGCTTGTTTGAGGGCCTTCAACACATCTTGTGCCCAAGTCTCTTTCAGATCATTCCGAGCGAATATGTATAAATCAATATCTCCATCTGGCAGATAAGTCTTGAGTGGTACGGAGCCGAACCTTATTACCTGTTACATGGAAAAAGAACAGCATGAACAGAATTGATTGATCAGGGGAGAGAATCATCTAGTAAGGATCATCAGCACTTCCCACGAAAATGGTCTTATTATTAAGAGAACACACTTGATGTACCCGATCCGCTCCAATACAAGAAGGAAACGCGATCCATCTACTTTCTGCACTAGTATTGAATCTTAAGCGGGAAGAATAAATGGATGTAAAAACCAGAATTGACATACCGCTGAGTATCTAACAGCACCTGCAGAAGAACGCACTATAAAACCCTAAACATACCCTCGAAGGTACCAGCGATTTACACTTGAAGTTTTGGAATACCACAAGCCTCAAAAATAAATTCCTCAAACTTCTAATGGAAATTTAACCCAACTGCGTGAAACAGCGGTCATGAGCGTCATAAGTTCCTAACTTCCGCTGCTTCCTAGACGAATAAAACTTTATAAAGAGTATGAGTTGTGATAGAGAACTTCTTCAAATAAATAAAGCTCGTTAACCGACACTAAACAATTAAATTAACTCTAAAAATGCAATTTGAAATCCGTACTTCAGGTTAGGTGTAGCCGTCAACACTTCCGATTACAAGCAAGTCCTTACTCTTTGAAAACTCTGGCTTTGAAATTTACATTTCCGCAATAATCAAGCTTTCTTATAAAAGTGTTGAATATGACGAGAATTCATATGACCGTACAACGATGTTATACTTTAAATGTGTTAATAGATGCATTACCCTCCAAGTTCATCCCAAGATCCAACCATACACGGGTATAAAAAATTAGGATTTAACATTTTACAACAAATAATACGACCGGCACAAATACGAACATGTGACATAAAGTTCAAAATGAACAAAAAGACATATATTTGCTACGTTGAGTTCATGAGGCAGAGCTGAGACCTCGCATTCAAAGCGGTCTCTGATGAGGCGCTCAACAAAGCCAGTAACAGCTGTCCGTCTCTCCTCCGATAGTCGAGTAGGCTTTAAAGAATCAATAAGTTCAGCAGTCTGGCCTTCAGCTCTAGTCCACCAATCATCTTCCTTTTTAGCTGCAGAGGAATGCGCAGAAGCAAACAGGGAAGCACCTTCGGCAGTGAGGCCGCTAGGCTTTGGCCAGCTTTCATGATAGTCCATGCAAACCCTTGCCCCACCCGGCACCCGGTCTGCTTCCCTCAATTCTCGTCAAAACGAGACTCTTACTTCTCACCTAACACTCCCCACCTCTCCTTGGACTCATTCCCGTCCTTCTTCAAGTCTTCTTTGACCGCATATAGAGATCTAATAATTCTTCTTGGTAAATGAAGAACTATTTCAGTGAAGCTCGATACCTCTTTCCTAGTCCTTTCAGTACATGATGACTTCGAGAAAAAGCCAGAATGGTAGCCAAGATTGTAATAAAACCTTACTTCAATCAAGAAGAAATGATGTACTGAGCTTAATGACGTCCTGTGCCAATCACTGCATGGATGATCAGCTCACATGACTTCATTTTGCTGCATCTCCGCTGTATGTGAGATTGTTAACTGATCAATTGAGGAATGTATTAATAGACTGCAATCAACAGCAATAACTTCAGCCCTCATGGATGATACAATGAGACACCAAAAAACTACAAATAAACAAATAAATACCATGACAACCATATATGGTCTACAAGACGAAGCCAGTGCCTTATCAAAACGGACACTCTACAGTAGATGCGTTAAGAACCAACTCCAACAAAGGGAGCCTCCAGAAATTACCCAACGTGCTGCGACTACCAAGAGACAGACCCAACTGTAACACTGGGCACTTAAACTATCTTTAAAAATTTTAAATCGTGTGACGAAATAAACCTGATTGACCTCATTCAAAAAACCTGGCTGCAGCGAGTACAAGGCTGAAAAACCCTAATGCTACAATGTGATTTCGACTGTGATCCCCTTCTAAACCTCTCTTCGCCATGAACATACCAGGCAGATTCCGATGACCCTCTTTAACTCTACAAGTGTAAAATACCCTTCCCGAAGTGGCGAAAACCGCGATCAGACCTTGAAATACAGTACCCTGAAGCAACACCAATTCCACGTCCAGAGTTTCCAAAGATACGCGGTGGTCAAATCCCCACAATCGACCATAATGAAGTAAGCAATATCCACATTCCTTTCACTCCCCTGACTAAACTAATGCCACATAACTATTCCATCGACACACACCCCCCCCCCCCGGGACTCCAAAAACACCAGAAACTCTTTGAATCTACATGTAAACATAATATTCGAAAGAAATCACATGAATGCTGAGACATCCAAAATTGCTACCACCCCGCCAGCTCATAAAACCTTCCACCAAGATATTAAAATCTAACCCAAAACGACAACCACTCGCAACGACAGTCTAGTTGAACACCAGCAGGGTTGTAACAACACATTCGACAAGAGAGAGGGGGAAAAGGCTTAACGAAACAGCGTCAACAAACGAGAGCACCAAGTCCACACGCACCATCAACAAGTAGAGAGAATGGCGAACGTACACAGTCCAGTTCTGAACTCCTGAGGGAGCTTCCCACCGAAACCAAAATCGCGAAGACTTGCCGGACGATGATTTCTTTGAGCACTCCAGGTGCTAGTGCCAGTGGACAGCATGCAGAATTGTGCGAGGTAGGTCTGTGAGTTCGCTTCGCACTCGGTGACTCTGGTGATAGCGATGACGTTGCGAAGCCCTAATCAGCAAGGCCTCGTGAAGGCGAGGTGGGTTCATACGGAATTAGGGCGAGGGAGGGTTGCCATTCAAGCCGGGTTTCACGAGCTGGGACTGGCATGTGTAAAGGCAGGTATCAGAGGCAATTCTATGGACCGCCAATCTCTGCTCCGAGCCATCGACGCACCTCCCTTTCCATCCATCAGCTCTCCGCTCTCTGTCTGGGACATGCTGTCTCCGGAAACCCCTCTCCGAAACCTCCTGGTCCCTGGATAGATAAAAACCATGTTTATTCATTATATCGATGCATGTCTCGGTCCAAACAAGCGGAAATTTTTGCTATATTTGAAACCTGCATATACATGAATTTTGTGATGAAACATAATCATCATTAAGACGAATGGGATTTGCAAAAGCAAAATAATACTTAGAAGCTTTCTTTGCTTAACTTTCTTAAAGAAGTGATATCAGATAATAATGTAAAGACATGGTTCCGATTCGTAAGATGTGTTCAGTGTAATCAATAAGTTGAATTGAACCGTGTAACATCAAAAATATAATTACTATTCTTTGTTATACAAAATGCATGTATGACGAACAAGATATCAAGATGATAGTCTCGTTCATGAACGGTGGCTTGTTCTGAACTAAAACCCCGGAAGTTCCTGCGTCAAAAATGACCAGGCTACTGGATGTAAACGAATTCTGCGGACCAAAATTAGTCTCTTGTAGGTTAACTTCCACACGGAATGTTTCAACACAATCGGCTTCGACATATTCCAGTGAAGAGATGGCAAGACGTGAAAGCACTCATAAATTTCATGCCAAGTGGTGCACAATTCAAGAGATTCCACGTCCCATGTTGCAGATCTGACCTCGATGAAGGAATCAAAACAGGTAGGCCCTCATTTGACTTTGAGCAAATACATTTCGCGGCTCAAAATGGTTATCACCAAAAATATGTTACAAGTGAACTGTTCTACACACAATTGCAGTCAACGGCTTTTGCCATCGTAACCCCTACAACCCTGATGTCTGCCACATAAAAATATCAGCTATGAGAGTTCGCAACTGGTCCATATGAAGCTTCAAAATTTGGTTCTTCCTGATCACCTCCTGAAAGAACAAATGAAATCACGACGTCATCATCAGACCAAATCGTCTGACATAAACTAGATAAAAGAGAAAAAAGAAAGGCTTGGTCGACAATAACAAAACATACTTCTCGTATGGGCAGAACGATTACAAAATCAAGGACGGTTTAATAAGAATAGACGAGCACAGATATGAGTAGAGATTTCGTCAGGTAGACTTCCAACTAAATGTCCTCTGACAGATACTCGTGCTCGCTGATAATTGAGGAATGTGTCATTCGTGAAGGAGTTGTAAGGTTTAACACACTTTGTGTTCAATCGCTGGCTTAACTTGAAAACACAGAAGCCATTCATTCATCCCATTCAAGAACTTATTGAAAACTACACTAAATAATGCACTCTGCGAGGAAAACGAACCTCTCTTAGGTCGTTCGCTCGTTGTTCAAGATATTCCACTTCGTCATTATCAATATTCTCTACGGTAGCACCATCAATTTCCGCCCTGGCCGCCTGTCGAATGATACGGATCAAGTTTGTGGTTCAGCTAGGTATTCTAGGTGAACGTAGGAAGGAATACATAACTAAATGGTTTCTTAGGTAAACAATTTTGCATTAGTCGTGGATCGACAACCCTAGCAAAATGACGAAGATTCTTTTCATAACTAGTGAGAAACTAAATCACAAAAAATGTGGCTTCACAACTTTGAGATTCTAAGTCAAAGACGTTTTGGATTCATCGTCACTCATTGCCGTGTTGTGGTATATTTTTAGTGAAAAGTACATCCTGGTTGAATATAAATCACATTAACTATTTTAAATCACTCGCAATTCATCTCGATTCAGAGCCACGGTCCAAGAGAAATAAAGAAACATTAAAAAAAACGATTCGCGTAACAATTCAAACCAACAGTAGTGAACGTTCTTGAGAATTAAACCTGAGTTTGCTTCAAAATGGCGGTAACGGTTGCACGCAGCGCTGCTGTGGCATTCCGGTACCGAAAGCGAGTGGCATCCAAAGCCGTCAATCCTTCACCACCATCCGATGCTTTCTCTTTCGTCACGCCACTCTCTCCTCCTGCCGTGGTAGCGACACTCCCACCCTCATTCGCCCCGTCCGCACTAGAATCAGCAGGACCATTGCTCCCCGCCTGCAATGAAGGAGCCACCCAGAAGCTAGGACTACACAAGGCACGATTCAATGAGAGCAGAATGTCGTGCGCCGCTTCCACGACAGTGTCTAATTGCTTCTGTCCATCCACTGCGAGGTCTTGCAACGTCTTGGGCGCAGAAACAACGAGGGCAGAGGACAACGAGGACTGTCCTTGCATGACGGCGTCAGTCCCCTCCATGGCCAGAGCCCTCTCTGCAAATGCGCTCAAAAACTCACTCTAAGTCACGTCTCTGCTAACCTCAAACCTACACCGAAGATAAAAAAACAAAACCATTCTCTCATATTAGGATGTGCCATCAGCCGTATAATAACTCTAATCGACTATTTACCAATATTACCCACTTCATACATGAGATCACCAAGTTTGTAGTATGATTCCATCGCTTTGCACAAGAATATACGAATGGACATACATCAGTATACCGAAATGCTGGCAGCAATCGATGAGGCACCAAATGAGAAGAAACTCAAGATTTACGAAAGAATACCACCCCTAACTTCGGACGAAATGCGACATAAACTTTCAGGACAAAAAAAAAAGGCACGTGAACAGCAATTGTCGTAAAACAACATATCGAACTTAACAATACATCTGCTAAAATAATAGCAACCAATCAACGTGCTGTCGACACAAAATACGCAAACAGAAGAAGCAGTGCAATGAGACGCCGCACACACGCTCAGAAAAGAAAACTAGAAATCTCACACTATCTCATCAAGACCACGGGAAGCAGAGATGGGAAGGATTTCCAGATCGCATCACGCTCTTACACTGTAACGAAACTCCACGAAAACTCACACCACATGTTCAACATCGAAGAAAAACCACAAACAGCCTCTACCACGAAGAAACGAGAAACTACGAGAGGAAAGCGCGACGCATTCTTACTTCTGTCCGTGTGATTCGAACTTGATTCGCTCCAAAACAGTGCATCGGCATTCTCCTCAGCTGATTCCAGAGTTATCACCTCATGTTGTGCCGAAATCTGTCTCGATTTCACGCGGACACGGTGCCTTCGCTCCAAACCCACAACCCTAATTACAGCAAATCCCTGGATTCAGCAAACCCAATACCGCAAAAGATTCGTTGATTGCACCGGCGAAGACAAATGGTTAGCAGCCCACTGGGTCTGAGACATTGCTCAGGAGCGATGGCGCAGCTAAACCCTAATTATCGAGACACATTGTCATGGCGACATGGGAAGGGCATGCAAAGCATGTTCAACATTTTTATAAACTATTTAGCTGTATTTTTGTCATCTTAGTGTGTAGAACTTGTCAACTACAATGTTATTCAATTTGCAATAACTTTTATTGCTCAAATTGAAATTTGATTCATCGAGTTTGAGACTCTACATATTTAACAAATGTTGTATTCATGTCTACGTCACAGGTTGATTTTGTAATATATATATTGAGGTTTCACCCCCTGGTCGACAATATTGATTAAGTAATCGATATGACAAATCAGCAGTATTGACTAATAAAGTTCACAGTTTTTAAATGATACGTTCAGATACATTGAAGTCATTTTTTCAAAACTCATGCATTCCAAAAACATTGCTGAAGGATTTAATAACAAAAATATTTTTATTTTAAATTGAACCAAAAGAAGCACAATATATCTAACTATTGTTGCATGTTGTATTTTAACACACAAAATTGATTAATTTTATGCACATATAAATATTCGTATATATGTATATATATACACACACACAAGAAATTGTTAAAGTGACATATTCATTTACTAAATCGACCTACCTGTCATCATTGGTTGTGGATTCAACCATTTTTTATTGGTTTTCAACCAATATGGATCCTACAATAGAGAATTTTTTTTATAATGGTTAGAATGGGTTGATAAATTGATTAAATGCATGGATCAATTTAGCAATATTCTCTCATATATATATATATATATATATATATATTTATTTATTTATTGAAGGTAGTAATACATGTTGTTTGAATGACAATTCCATATGTGTATTCTTTGTGATGCTTCAACATTTTGTTGATTCACTTGTTCAAACGAGCAACTATTAAAATCCCCAGCATTCAACCATCTATGGAACCAAGTAATAGCAAATGTAAAAAGTCACTACTTTATAAATTTAGATTATAATGCTAAAAGAGCAAAGCAATGGCATGTGCAAATAGTTCCTAGCTTAAGAATTAAAAAATTTAGAAAATACCACTAAGCAACCACCACCCTTGTAACTTGTTATATGGTTAGAAAATCAACCATTTATTGGATTGGAGTTTTTGTTGCTATTATCATGTCATAAATCCCATCTCAATGCATATTAAGGCAATGGTCTCAAATCTTAATGTAATTATTTGCTCAACTTCTCATCACAACCTTGAACATCAACTTACACCACAATAATAACTACAATTGTGTTGACTATTCAAAACACTATAGATGATAAGTGATTCCTAAAACATTTATTATAGTGTATTTTTATCTAATTCTACCTTTGTTCTCACTTGAATTCCAATCTTCCATCTAATTCTACTGCAAAATATCTTCACTTTCTATCTAAGAATATAAATGAAATCTAACTTTAATATTTCTTTTTTGTTTTTAATATAAATTTGAATATATTAGATATTTATTATATTTAAATTTATCTGAATATATATTTAAATTTTTCAAAAAGTAATATATTAATTTTTATGTAAAAACTTAAAATTATATATAATAAAACATTGGATATTCACTAAAAACTACACAATAATTAATCTATGTACAATTTTTATTAATGCTGTATAAAGAATATAATATGCTTTAAATTTAAGTCTATTTAATATGAAAAAATGTTATATCACAAATATTGAGTAATATTTAACAATACAATGAAAAATAAACTAAATAAGATTTTAAATGTTAGTTATGAATAATAAACATGTGGTTTTAAAATTGATAACATAATTTTATATGTCAAATTAAAATACATAAAGAAATACAATATATTTGTTAACTCTTTGGATAAATTTATGCTTATAAATCTGTATTCATACTTTTGTTTAAATCCCATCTTTTATATTGAAAGTAAAACTATCAAAGAGTTGAAAATTTAACTCTTTGAATAGATTGATGAATTAATATGTCAGTCTCAAATCAAAACATAAGATATTAAATGCTATTATATATATATGCACCTACTCATCTCAACAAGCATGAAATGTTTATATACTTTTGTATGTTGTAAAATATGATTTCAAATGTATATCATCATTATCTTATTACATATATATATATATATATATATAAATTATGTGTTTGTTTGTTTTGTTTTGTTTTTTTTGTGTATGTGTATATATATATATATATATTTTATACATTGAATGCAATCTGTGAAAAAGTGACATGGATGCTATTGGACAGTTTTTGTTTCCAACTTTGAATTGCTGTAAGCTGAGAACAATATTCTTTTTTGAAGATTAAAATTGAATAGATGTTGTGTATATTTTTGGTTCAATGTAATGGATACATGTTGTCAAAATATGCAAATTGTGGTCACACAACATGATTTTGCATCTTCAATTAAGGTGTTGACCCAACACATGTCATGACCAGGTCTATACATTTAAACATTGGAATCATATATTTTCAAAAAATACAAATATATTATTACTCAAGAATATACATTCAAAAACATTATCTCTATTATAAAACTTATCCAGGGTATAAATCAATGGGATAAACTAGGGAGACAAATTGGTTTTTTGATTGGCTGCATTACTCAATCATCATTGTTTTTTATCAAAACTTTTGCTTCATTGTTTTTATTAAAACTTAACTTAACTTGCCGATTTATTGCACCTTAACAAAACCAATCTTAGACTAAGGTGAAGATATCTTAGAGCTTGCTCAAAAGATGATTGCAACTTCTTTTAAAACTTGAAGGTTTCTTTTAATTGGATTCTCCGTTTTGTTAAGAATTTCACTATTTTCATTTTCTTTGACATACATGAGAATTAGAGTTTTTTTCAAGAATCCTTTTTGATGCACCGGATCTACATTTCCTTGATCAAAAGTGAGTTTTTTGTGTATAACTTTTCGTGCCACTGTACTTTGTCAAGTGTGTGATATAATGGACATTTCAATTGTGTTGATCAATTTTCTATTCTTTTTATAACTTGAATAGTTGAATTGCCCATCTTCTTTTAGAAACTACAAGTCTTTTTTATAAGTTCTTATAATAGAAATGTGCAGGTGCATTGTCTTTGAGTAGCATTCTCTCCAACTTTAGGCTTTTAGTATTGAAGTATTCACCAAGTAGGATGATATGGAGATGGGTGGTTTAAAGAGTTTTTGAAGAGATTTGTAACTTAGATAATTGAATTATAAAACAACATTTTTTTTGTGACAATGACGTGGGTTCAACTAGCCTGTATTATTATAAAGAAGCTTATGTATATGACAAAGAGACAAAGAAATCTTCTCATTATCCAAAATCTAAAAAATCATTAACAACCAAAAAGCCTTGTGTAACTTGCAAAAAAACCTCCAATTTACTATTTGTAAGATTTTTTTTTGTGCCCAACAACAGAAGATTCTGTTAATAAATAATTAAATATATTAATTTAGGATATGACAAGTCTATCGTTATCAATTAATAATTAGTATGTTGGGAATGGAAGGACTCACTGCGTTGGATGAAGTTGTTTCGTCTTCATCCAACTTTCAAGAATATCGAGGGCTTGGTGTCGACGAGCGAGGGAAGAGGCGGTCCACGTGGCAAAGGGCCGAGCATGAAACTCGAGGGGATTGTGAAGGCTCATTTGCAGGGCAATATCCACACTCGCGCGCGGCATCTCGCCCTCTATCCCTGATGAGCGGAATGTTTGCAAGGAATTGCCACTCCGCTGCCCTGCGCAGCCATTCAAGCTTTGCTCTGCGCTTCGCATTTGTCTCATCGTAGCTTGCGTCAGGGCCGGATTGTTGGGTTGTGGATTGATGGGGTGCCTTCCCACGATTGCTGAATTGGGTCCCTGAAATCGTAGCTTCGGACGTGGAAATTTTGCATAGGTTGGGTAGAATTTCCAGTTAGGGTTCGGTTTTGCTGGGAATTGAGCGTGTTTTTGATTGATTGAGAGGTAGATTGTAGGAATGTGGTGTGAGGAGAGGTGAGCGGGAAGCGGAAATGATTGCAGGTATGGCGATGCATCCGGCGATGCTGGTGCAGGCTCCGTCGACGTCCAACGGGGTGGCAATGCCGCTGTGTCGTAGAGTGAAGGTGGTGCCAAGGAATTGGAACCGTGGATTCGTAGCGGGAGAGAAGGCTTCATTCGCAGTTGGAGATGGAGGGTTGTTGTTTACCCTTAGAGCTGGGTCAGGGGGAAAGCGTAGGAAGAAGAATGGTGGCCGGGCGTGTGTGTTTATGGCTGCTGATTACTACAAAACTCTTGGAGTTTCGAAGACAGCGACTAAGTCTGAAATCAAGTCTGCTTATCGGAAGCTTGCCCGAAAGGTTTTTTTTCTGTCACTTTTGGTCTCCTCGAGAATTCATTTAGACCTTAGGAATAATTTGCTTTTGTTTTTTGTTTTTTTTTTTTTATAATTTTTTTGCGCAGTTCCAGTGTACACGTGCAGTCATGTCATCCGTCGAGGGATTGGAATTTAGATGGCTTGAAATTAATAGGTTCTGTCAGTAACAGCTATAGGGAAAATTATGAATTGTCGCTGTACATTCGTGGCAAATTGAGCCGAGATCATATGATTTGAAGCCGCTTTTTAGCTCAGATCTTCATTCTCTGATAGAAGCCAAAATATGGCAGGTGCTGCTGCAGGTTGTTTGAATGCCTGAAGGACTCACGTAAAGTTGTAACAGGGTAACAGAGGGCGAATCTATCTTAAGAGTTGTTGATATCGAAGTGATGTGTTGCTTGCATTTTCAGTATCATCCGGATGTCAACAAGGAAGAAGCTGCCGAGGAGAAGTTCAAGGAGATTAGCAATGCCTACGAGGTGAATTTTACAAGCGAACTCCGTCCACGAACTTAGATTTATCAGCTATATCATTTGTGTTACATTAGTTTGTTTTATAGGTACTGATTTTGTTCGTGCCTTCCGTTGTAGGTTCTGTCAGATGATGAGAAGAGGCCATTGTATGATCAGTATGGAGAAGCTGCCTTCAAGGGTGGAGCTTCATCCGGTGGTGCTGGGGCTTATGGGGTATGAAGCTTAAATCTTCTTCAACTTGAATTTTGATTATCATTTTTGTCGATTAGGAGCACACATTAATGCAGTAGATATTTCCGAGAACTTTTTAACTGTGGAAACTTTAGTTCAATATTGGCTGGAAGGCTTTCAGGTTTTTTGCAATTTATATGCAATATCCTTCCTTTGTAATGCACTCTAGATGTGGTTCTGACCTCGTTGATTTTGTTTTTTTAGGGAAATCCATTTGACCTCTTTGAGTCTTTCTTTGGTGGCGGAATGGGTGGCATGGGAGGTATGGGTGGCATGGGTGGCATGGGTGGCATGGGATTTAACACAGGACAACGCTCTAGATCTATGCAGGGTGATGATATTCGGTAAGAGTATCTGACTTTGTTGGAGATATTGGCGAACATATAGTTATAGAAACAAATCAGATAGAGTATCGAGCTGGATGTAGTTTTTTGTGTTTTACAATTTATTTTTGATGAACTAAGAGTTTTGTTTGTGGCTACAGATATGATATGACTCTAGAGTTTAAGGAGGCCATATTTGGGACTGAACGAACTTTCGACGCCACACATTTAGAGACATGTAGCAGTTGTTCAGGTAGTGGTGCTAAGTCGGGCAGCAGTAGAAAGAGCTGTCAGACTTGTGGTGGTATAGGGCAAGTTATTCAATCGTCACAAACTCCATTTGGATCGTTTTCTCAGGTATGTCTTTTTGTAGATATTAACTCCTCTTACTCACACCTGTATTTTTATAAGTAGGCAGAAGTTGTCAAATGGTATTTAATTCCTTAATGCTGTCGAAGTTGCTGAAGTTGGAGTGATTTTGTCTGCAGGTCTCTACTTGCCCAACGTGTAACGGGGAAGGTGAAGTAATATCTGAATATTGTAGGAAATGTGGTGGAGACGGAAGGCTGCGAGTGAAAAAGAATATAAAAGTGAAGATTCCTGTAGGTGTCAATAATGGAAGTACACTACGTGTTCGTGGGGAGGGTGATGCAGGCCAAAGGGGGTATTATATCTTCTTTCTATGTTCTTGTTGCTTGTGACTCGATATATGTTTGACTTTTTAACTTGATCCTGTGTATTGACTGATGCTTTCAGTTTCTTGCTGCATATGCTGTTCCTTGCGTGCTTTTTTGATGTGAAATTCGTGGTTGTTCGTTTATATGCATTTGAGTAGTAACACTTGAGTTGATTAATACATGGCCAGGTTTGATTTTGTAAAGTTTTTTACATCTTTGGTTTGTCTTTGTATCTGCAGGGGACCACCAGGGGATCTCTATGTCTTTTTGAGCGTGAATGAAATGCCTGGAATCGTTAGGGAGGGGACTAACCTGTTTTCTAATATCACCATCGATTATACGGATGCTATACTTGGCACAGTTGCTCAGGTTATTCTGTTCAGCCTCACTGTTTTGTGAACTTTCGCTTTTAACTGCAGTTTATTTGGAACGTTTTCTGCTGCAACGGTGTAGTGGTACTGTAGTTGTAGAGACTTTCAGTTTGATTCGCGTTGTGTACATGTCAGTTATTCTGGTATAATCGATCTCCAAGGATTCTGCTACCTTAAACTGTGATTGTGATGGCACATTTCCTTAGTTGGCATTACTTGTGTTTGGTGGATATTTGCGAAATTAGAATTGCATGCCGGTCTTTTTGTCTTGTCACGATGATTGTGAACTTGACATAGATTCTATTCGCCTGGCAGGTGCAAACCGTAGAAGGTGAGAAGGAACTTGAAGTACCTGCTGGCACTCAGCCTGACGAGACACTGGTGCTTCCCAAATTAGGAGCTCCTAAATTGAACAAGCCAACATCACGCGGTGACCATTATTTCACAGTAAAGGTCAAAATACCAACTCAATTAAGGTAAATTTCTTTGTCAGAATGCTACTAAAATTTTTTGTCGATATTCGTTTCACGGACATGGAATTCTTGAAACGTATGTTAAATCGGAAGTTCTTCTTTTCAACTCGCACCCTTTAACAAGGATCGTCAAATTTCAGTTCACAACTTTGTGTTGTGGATGTGCAGTGATGCAGAGCTTGAGCTGATGAAGAGATTAGGAGAGATGCGCAAAATCAAGGGAGGACGTGGAGGAGGCGGGAAAGCGCTGAATGCAACCAGCAAGCCTCAGCGTAAGAAGAGTGCGGCTGCGAAAGCCAAACAAACGAACACTCCTCTTAGTCCGGACCTTGCTGAACCATCAGGCCTTGAGTAGCCTTTCCGTTCGCTCTTTAGAAATCTGAGAGTTATTTTCAAATTTTGATGTAGTTTAAGCCTTTGTCAAGCCTCACGAGGCTTTCATGGCGTTGGGAGTATCAGTAAAACCGTGCCTGAGCCTTTCCGTATTTTCATGGCCTTGTATTTTGACATGAAAATGAATTCTTTTTCACTTCTGCAATATGCGAAAGGTTTTTCACGTCCATGGCTTAGAGTATTGTAGACAATTTATCAGTTTCGATTTCATAACGAGTCCTAGGTTACCAGCTTACATTTTGGATTTTTTCCCTTTAAGTACGCGCTATTGTGGATACGCACTCTGGTGCCAACAATTATTGTCTGTCAAGTATACATTTGGATTTACAGGTTACACTAGTTGTGATAGGTGAAACTTTTAGTAGTGTTTGAGAATTGGGTCAAAGAGTAATTTGTTCTATTCTTAAGTTAATGAACATTGTTGTTGCTGGGATTTTCTTGTTATGAGCATGATATCTGTAACGGACGGAATCATGCGTTGTTTTTTTCTTACAAGTTCGTGTGCTTTGTTGACATGCACACGGATTTACATTTACTACGTGAGATGAATGGGTACGAGAATTCCTTGGTTTGTGCAGTTTATTATTTTCGCCGCAATCTATGTCTGATGAATTGTTTCCTACTTCGCAGGTTCTCACGACAGTAAGAGTGATTCGCCTAAGGAAACGGGAGAAGAGTCTGTGCCTGCAAAACAAGGAAAAGGAATTTGGGGAGCTGTTAAGAACCTTGCTGGGTATTCTAACCAAACCAGTGCGATGCGGTTTTTCCTTATTCAAGAGCTAGCATTGAATTTGAGACTTGTGTATTTGACAGTTCTTTGTATATACCAGTTGTGTTATTCATACGGAAAGTATCTGGCGAGGGTGTATTAACAGTGGTGTCTTGTATTTTTTAATAGAAAACTTGAACTCTGCCTCTTAGTCAGATGGTTTCATTTGTTGAATTTAATGCTTTAGTTTTAGTGTTGTAATTGATTGCACTAACAGTGAAGGCTTTTAGGGGGTAAGATTCATGAGACTCTTTATAATACAGTCATTATAAACTCAAGAACCCGTAAATGATAACAGTATGAGATCTAAATCGTTATTCTAATAAAGCTCTGAATCCTTAAGACATTTTTTAATTAGATTAGCAGCCTGCTTCTAAACCCGGAACTCAAGATGTCAAGTTAAAGTATCTTGCCAAGCTTCTTAATGGTCCACTTCGAGTTCTATTCCTTTGCTGGATCTCAGTATAATATTTGTTTGTGAACAGGGCGAAACAGTCTCCTGGGCCCAATTTTGGATCTACCAGTATGCATACCACCATGTCACAAGGAGACTCATCTGCGATTGGTCAATCATCGACGAACAAACCCTGGGGGTTAATACCATCTTTGGTCGTCATTACCCTTTCACTATCCATGATTTTCTTTCTCTATCCTTACATCCTACGCCTCCTTTCATGGGCCATTGCCCGGGTTACGTCTCTCCGTAGGTAACTAATAGGTATTCATTAAAGTTTGCTCCCTACTTCTCGCAATGAAACTATCTTCCGACTTGCTGGACCTCATTTTTAGTTCTCTGGAGGACTCGCTGACGGTCATCCTGCCTGTGTATGAACCCACATGTCAAAGTAATTCATGAGGCTCCAGACAGTGGAGTGCTGGAAAAAGATAATTTCTACGGAAATTTGTAGTCAGCAAGTGATAATGGATCTATGGAGGACACGAACTCTGCTTTCTAAAACAACTACGCAAGCGCAGCAGAAAATGAAAGCTTTAGCTCAAGTTGCAGTGGTTGGCCTGTGTGTACTCCTCACTTTCTCACTCCAAGCTCGGAATTCGACTGGACCTGAAGCTTAGTCTTTTTCTCTTCAAATTCATGCATTCCCAATTGGGAGGGCGAGCAGTTGCATGTTGAGAACTTGATTTCATAGGGTATTCAGATTCTCACAATTTAGGTTCATAGCTGACGTTACGGTTAATAACTAATTGAGAATTATGACTTGATACGCTTTTAGCTGACTAAGGTACTCATCCTGTGTTGAAGGTTGCGTTTAGGTGTGCATTACGAAGGCTACAAATTGGAGTAGCTTTGTTTATCCAATGATCTTGATAAGTTGACAGTCTCGTATTGGTCATATGGACCTTAAACTCATATAAAGGCATTCCATGGAAGCATTTGGTTACAAAGGGAATGTTTGTGCAGTAGTACAACACTCAACGTGTTCTTCAGACAATGTTTGGTGAGAGTTCGAGCATGTCTGGAGTTCCATTTTTCTAGTTACAGAGTAAGTTTTGCTCCCTTGTTGTGTTTTGTTTGATTTCCTTTTCTTTCTGTTTTTTGGGCTTTCACGAATAAAGTTAGATTCCTTATGATTTATCAAAAACGATTTCTTAATGTTCAATAGTGCTGGGCATGATGGAAAAAATGTCACAGTATTTTGGGTCACTTGGGACGAATCTAAACCCCTCGACATCTGGGATGATTTTTGGTTATCGAACAATCAAGCTTGTTCTCTGTGTTACTCATTAGCCTCAAACCTGGACTACCTCTCCACCTGCAAGCATGTGTGAGCCTCAAGGCCAAGGCTCTCTCTGCTTCTATCATAGCAAAGATTGTAAACTGTAGTCAATGAGGACTTTCCAAGATATTGCACATCCAGTCTTAATAATACGGCTTTCACTCCCTCCATGTATTAACCACACTACTAACAAAATTATGTCAGTTTTAGTGGCCATATAAGTAGAGAGAATTTGTAAAATTGAGTGATTGTCCCCTATCCTGTGGGGGTTCCCCTTGTGGTGCCCACACGCACATGCTAAAGGAATTTAAATTGACAAAAAGGGAAAGCATGGGTGTCCAAGCTCTACGCATTGCAAAACAACGTCTATCCAGAAGGAGAAGACCTAATCCAACCTGAAGAATTTAGAAGGCAGTGCAGACTTTTACACAACCTATAGGACTGCGGATGAGCCCTCACGTGAAGAAAACATGAGATGTGTGTGCAGGTGCGAGTGTGAACATTAGAGATCTGTGTGCAGTGTATCGTCCTCGGCGAATGAAGATGGTTATGTCACGCAGTAAGCGAGGGGGGTTGGCATGCAGGTCGGATTTAGCAATTGCACGAGGGCCATAACCAGCTCACAGACAGAGCACTGCATCGCATTGCATTGCATTGCAATCCAGTGATCTTTGGACCTCTTGTCCTGCCTGTGTACTCTGTCCGAGCCTGGAGCAAAACCCTTCCTCTGCTCACTAATGCACACTTTCAGCCCCTACTCTGTAGCCTCTAAGGTTTAAACCTGCTCCTCTCTGCACACACTTAAATGCATCTCCCTGCTCGCATGGCTGTGAAACTACCAGTTCGATTTTCACGGTGAAGGCGACCATCTCGGTGGTTTAGGGTTAGGGTTAGGATTAAGGCTTAAGTGGGTCTGATCACTTCACAGACCAGAGTGACCCAGTAAGCCCTAAATCCAAAATCCGCCATACCCCACCTTCAGGGTTCAATTGGGGTGCACTTTTTTTCCTCATAAGTTAACAATTGGTGTAAAATCCTTGAAGAATGGTAAAGGAAAGATGAGATTGAGGTTACCCAATGTAGTGTTTTCATGGTTTCATGTTTCACAATTCACTAACACTAGAAATTGAATTCTAAACTTTTGTAGTAAATCTGAGTGTAACGTAAGCTTGTGAATTGTGTTTGTGACCATAAAATTGAATACTTGAATGAATGTGTACGATAACATTCACACGTACTTGAACAGCAGATAATAGCGTGTGAATTAAAAACTTTTATTTTGTGTTCAATCAAAAACAAAAGTACCTAAGAAAGGCAAAAGGAAGTGGGGTACCTTTTTCCTTTTCGTCTTCTTTGTCTTTGGAGGTAACCGTAACTTCGGAATCCAGAATTTTTTATTTTTACCCAGGAAGTTGACAAACGCAAGCAAAGGTGAAAGGTAGTGAAGTAAAACCCCTTCCACGAGGAATCCATCATCATTCAAATTCAAATGTAAGACCAAAGTCAACCAAAGCGATGACCTCGCCACGTGGGATCCAGCACAGCTCGTGATCGTCGCCGGATGGATGAATGCAGTCCCCATAATACTTTCATCCCACGTAATCTGCTCGATATGGTGGATGTATGTTGGATGAAAACAGTATTATATATATATATATATATACAACTCATTCATTCGACGTGCACGTTCTTAACAACTACAAGAAGAAGATGATGAAGAAGAGGCTTCGTCAATAAATTTAAGGACACAAAAACAAAAAAAACAAAATTCATTTAGTATTTTAATGTTAGTGAAACATTAATACTAATAATGATATCAAACAATGTTTAAAGCCGTAAAGTACATGCACAGAGTTGACTACTGGAGTAATATTAAATCTTACATTAAATCCTGCACAACATCTTCAAAATTCCTACGTAGAACAGTTAACTCGTGCACGATTTTTAATTTTAGGGTTTTGTTCTCAGCGTTGAGTTAAATGAACAAATAACGTTGTGCTTGTAAACTTGGGGTTCAAACTGACAGTGATCCAACAGGTAACTCTGCTCCGTGGCTCCTTGAATTGGGCAGACAACTTTCACTAAAGTCTTCAAATTTATATTTTTTCATAACTGTAATAAATGCTTTACATCAGATACAAATATTGTAATTTACTGTTTACATAATTTCGATAGATTTTTTTATTTATGATTCTAACAAAGAAATAGTAAATATTCATATGGACAAAGAAGCTATTGGAAGCTACATGAGTTATCTACATCAAGTCTGATGCATAAAAACGTTGGACTAATTTATTCTGTTATTGCTACATTTTAATAAATGCACAGATTTGCAATGTGAGCTCGGGTTTTGTACATTCACCAAAAATTTCTAGACCTGATTTTTCTGGTAGCAAGCAACTGATCAAGAAAAAATAACCTAAAACAATGCAGTGTTTCATAATTGTGAATTTAGGCATTCACCAGTTAATTCTACTCTCCTTTTACTTCTGTTCCTATTTTAAAAACATATCTTAAGTGATGTTCAATGTCCAAATTTATGTTTAGTGTTATTTAGTTACTCCAAATAGAAATATTCAACTTTAAAAGTTGATACTGTTAGAAAACGATCATGATTACAAATAAAAGTTTGTAGACCACAAATTTGGATTATTATTATTATTATTATTTGACTAAATAAAATACATTAGTCGATGAACATCAAGTCAACAAATTTGAAGAAGAACCTCTTTTGTGGCAACCCTTTCTAATACATATACACATGCAATCTAGAACCTATAAGTATCTAGAATTTGTACAAATTTACCTTTTAAGCAAAATAAAAATAGTCTCCACTATATTTACTATTCATGAATAGAATAATAGTATTTTCCCATAGTTGAGGGGCATGATACTACTTAGGTGTTCATACCAGAAGCTTCTAATGAGCTCCATGGCAATACAAAGTAAACTCACTGTACTAGTACTACAAACTTCTCAAGTGACTAAGGTCATCCAGAAGCATCCCCACAAATCATTGTGATCCATGACCCACTTCATAGCTACACTCAAATCAAGAGAGCATGTGAGCAAAAAATTAGGGTAGCCCACATCAAAAGGTGGATCATGTTCATTCTGAACATTAATCAAATAGACCACAAAAATCACAAGCCTGAGTCCAACATGAACCCTAAATAAAATAGTCGTCAACCATCATATGTACATGCATGCAATTGTGTGTAACTGCCAGTAGGTGTTGTCCTAACATTTGTCCAAACCAAATATAAATTCCAGCTTTTATTTTATATATTTATTTTATTTATAAGTGTATGGATATGGAGCTGAGGGCACTCGAACACGTGAAAACTTTGAGTTCCAGCTCAGCTCAAGTGCGAGGAGTGACGATACGAAAATCGGCCAAAAACCCCTTTCCACACCGCGACTGACCTACACCGTATGTATATTTCGTACGTGGATGCGTATAATATCGATGGAACGGCGCGAGACGAAGACTGGCCCCTGGTGTTTTAGTACGGGCCCTGGAATTGACTCAAATACCGGCGACTTGATGGTGCGTTTCTTCTCGAACGATTTCGAACCGCGAGCCGTCATCAATTGGGCGGCTCGCTGCGATCAAACCCACCGGACCGATTGAGGGCTAGTTCGATATTGCAATGTGGAGACGATGCTGGGTTCGAGAAGGGGGGCAAGGGGATTGAGCGTTTCGGATACAGCAATCGCACTGATCATGTTGCTGCAGCTGCTGCTGTAGGCATGGTGTTGTAGCTAGTGCTGCAGGGTTGAGTTCGATTGCTGCTCAACGTTTCGAAGGTTGTGGTGAATCAGAAACGCTTGCTGCATCCGCAAGAACCTACTGGTCTTTGGAGTGTTGTTGCTTGTCTTCTAGTGAAAGGAGTGAGTGTTGATAGGTAGACTTGTGCAGGACCGGTGCTGAAGCCGTCTGACACTAGACCCACCATCACGTCGCATCGCACTCGCGGCTGCAGGCAACATCTGAGTGTGCACGACGGGAGGGGGTGATGCTAGCGAAGGCGACCGTTGCGACCTTGGGTGCCAGATTGCGCAGTTGGGTGGTGGATTCTGGGCTTGTGGGTGACTCGATTCTCTGGATTGACCTGGGTGACGGCTACAGTGATCAGGCCGGGACGATCGTGTGGTGGCCTCTTTTTGGAGGCTTGTTTGTGGCCTCTTGACGACGTGGAAACCAAGGCCGTTGAAGTTGAGCAGGCTCAGGGGGGGCTTTTGGCAGAGTGTCGGCGGAAGAGGAATTTGTTTGTGCAGAATAGAGATTGCCGGAATTGCTGGCTACAGGCGAGTGAAGATTCTTGCATTAGCTACAGCAGGGGTGCTCGATGTCCATGAGATTGCGAGTATAGCGCAGTTTTGTTTTCGTGCCGTTCGGGGTTGTGGTCTAGCTTTGTGCTGGTGGGGTGGTACTGTTGTATAGCTGTGCACATGGCAGGAGGGGAGAGGGAGAGGCGATTGCGGTAGGGACGAAGAGGACGGAGAAGGACACAGGAAGGAGAGAACGAGTCTCTGTCGATAAAGGTTGTCAAATAATTGTTCTTTTTAGTTGTCCAGATCGGTCAAACCAAAAAATTGAATAATCTCAGGGCTCCGTCTGTTGAATTGCATGGTTAAGCTCGAGCTCGACCTTGCCTGCCAGGAACAGGCTCACGGGATTGTCACTGATGTTGCTTTGTGCACTTCGTCCTACAGCTCAATCCCTTGGAATATTGCTACTTCGTTCTTGTCCACATCACGTGGAATTATGCACAGAAGCAAAGTTTCGAAGGTTGTAATCTTCAGGCTGGGTTTTGGCAAGGCTCCGCATAGGCTATGGAGGCCAGCAACGCCCGCCACAAGTTTGCAGGTTGAATCTTCGAAGGCCACAGAACCATCGGAAGAATTCAAATTCGCTGCGTAGGAGTTATGTTCTGCGATGCACTTGGGCTGTTTGGAGCAGTAGCTTGAACAATTTGTAAGAGTGTTTGCTATGATGAAGAGTTTGACGATGGTTAGAAAGGAAAGGTGATAAAATTGGCAATGGGAGGAGCCAGGGCGGAAGTACTTCTTTCATTGGTTGTGGGATTGCTAGTGCTCTCTGTGGGTGCGCAAGATGTGATGTCGGACATAAGGGCGCTGCTGGGGATCAAGGCGGCCTTAGCCGATCCCCAGGGTGTCCTGAACAATTGGATCACTGTGTCTGAAAACGCTCCTTGCGACTGGCAAGGGGTGATATGTTGGGCTGGCCGTGTCTACGAGATCCGATTGCAACAGTCCAATTTGCAAGGCCCTCTCTCAGGTTCTTCACACACCATGCCTTTCATGCCTTCCCTGAATTTCAAGTCCTGAAGTTGAGGTAGATATCTCTGCCGAAGAACGTCCCGCCATCAATAACCAAAGAGTGTTGCCCTATACTTACGACATTGTTTGTATGTTCGTTCGTTCGTTTGTTCAATTTTTTTTGTTTTTTTATCACAAATTTTATCTAACTTGTTTTTGTTCTTGTGGAGGGATATTCCAGTGGACATTGGCGGCTTGAGCGAGCTTCGGCGATTAAATGTGCACACCAATCGTTTGAACGGCAACATACCGGCGTCGCTCGGTAACTGCAGCCGTTTGCACGCGATATACCTCTTCAACAATGAATTTTCTGGCAATATTCCCCGGGAGATTTTCCTTGGTTGTCCAGGGCTGCGGGTGTTGAGTATTTCGCACAACAGGATCGTCGGGGTTTTACCAGCCGAGGTTGGAACCTCGCGAGTCCTCCGAAGTCTTGACCTGACGAGCAACTTGATCATGGGGAGTATCCCCGTGGAGCTTTCTCGGTGCTTGGGGCTCAACGTGCTCGCTCTCGGCGATAACCTCTTGTCCGGAAGCCTCCCCTATGCGTTCGGCCGTTTATTAAACCTCGAACGTCTCGACGTCAGCAGCAACCAGCTTGGCGGCGAGATTCCTGTGGAGCTCTCAAGTTTGGGAATGCTGCAATCTTTGAACCTTGCGCACAATAATCTCACAGGAAGCGTTCCCAACATCTTCTCCACTCTTCCAAGGTTGCAAAATTTGCGTCTCGCGGACAATCTTCTGAGCGGGCCTCTACCAGCAGAGATTGGCAGTGCTGTGGCGTTGCAGGAGCTCGACGTGGCGGCGAATTTTCTCTCGGGAGGATTGCCAGTGTCTCTTTTTAACCTTACGGAATTGCGTATCCTTACTATCTCCCGCAACCTCTTCACTGGTGGCATTCCAGCGCTAAGCGGGTTGCAGAGTATACAATCTCTGGATTTAAGTTTCAATGCATTTGACGGCGCTATTCCGAGCAGTGTGACGCAACTTGAGAATTTGAGGGTGCTCGCTCTCTCTGGGAACAAGCTGACAGGGAGTGTTCCTGAGGGACTCGGACTCCTCACAAAGGTACAATACTTAGCTCTCGACGGGAATCTCCTGGAGGGCGGCATTCCGGCCGATTTAGCGTCGCTTCAAGCGTTAACTACTCTGTCTCTCGCATCGAATGGTCTCACTGGTTCTATCCCAGCGACGCTTGCAGAGTGCACGCAGCTTCAAATCCTCGACCTCCGGGAGAATAGATTGTCTGGCCCCATTCCAACGTCTCTCGGGTCTCTCCGCAATTTGCAGGTACTACAATTAGGGGGGAACGATTTGAGCGGAGCCCTGCCTCCAGAGCTGGGTAACTGCTTGAATCTGCGGACCTTAAACCTCAGCAGGCAGAGCTTGACGGGTAGCATACCATCGTCCTATACATTCCTTCCCAATTTGCAAGAGCTTGCGCTGGAGGAGAATCGCATAAATGGCAGTATCCCTGTGGGATTTATAAATCTTCCAGAGCTTGCTGTGGTCTCTTTGAGTGGTAACTTTTTGAGTGGGCCTATACGCGCCGAGCTCGTACGAAACCCTAAACTGACAAGTCTTAGACTTGCTAGAAACCGCTTTTCTGGAGAAATTCCCACAGATATCGGCGTCGCCACTAACCTTGAGATCCTCGACTTGAGCGTCAATCAGCTCTACGGCACTCTTCCTCCATCACTCGCGAATTGCACTAATCTTATAATCCTTGACCTTCATGGCAACAGGTTCACAGGAGATATGCCCATTGGGCTTGCGCTCCTCCCAAGATTAGAGTCCGCAAACCTTCAAGGGAATTCGTTCTCCGGTGGAATTCCTGCTGAGCTAGGCAACTTGTCGAGGTTGGCTGCCCTAAACGTGTCCCGCAACAATCTCACTGGAACCATTCCGGCGTCGCTAGAGAATCTCAACAACTTAGTGTTGCTTGACGTCTCCTACAATCAGCTGCAGGGCTCCATTCCAAGTGTTCTCGGGGCAAAATTCAGCAAAGCATCCTTTGAGGGGAATTTCCATCTGTGTGGACCTCCTCTCCAAGACACAAATCGTTACTGTGGTGGGGTCGGTTCCTCAAATTCGTTGGCCTCAAGATGGAGAAGGTTTTGGACATGGAAATCTATCGTGGGTGTTTCCGTGGGCGGTGGCGTGCTTCTTTTGATACTCTTGGTATTATGTTCTTTCTGTATTGTGCGTTTCATGAGAAAGCAAGGTAGGAAGACTAACCGGGAGCCAAGATCGCCCTTGGACAAGGTCACCATGTTCCAGTCTCCGATTACGCTGACAAACATTCAGGAGGCCACGGGGCAGTTCGACGAGGATCATGTCTTGAGCCGCACTCGCCATGGGATCGTCTTCAAGGCCATTCTACAGGTACTGTTTTCAATCCTCCTTCCATCCGGCGGCCATAACTTTCCCCCTACTCGTAACCCACCGTGAACTGATTCTCATGTGAACTGGGAGCTACTCGTGCAGGATGGCACGGTGATGTCAGTGCGGAGGCTCCCCGATGGCGCCGTAGAGGACAGCCTCTTCAAACTCGAAGCTGAAATGCTGGGCAAGGTGAAGCACCGCAACTTGACGGTCCTTCGAGGCTACTACGTTCACGGGGACGTCCGCCTCCTGGTCTACGACTACATGCCGAACGGAAACCTCGCATCCTTGTTGCAAGAAGCGTCTCAACAAGACGGCCACGTCTTGAACTGGCCCATGCGGCACCTCATTGCGCTCGGCGTCTCACGAGGCCTTTCCTTCCTGCACACGCAATGCGACCCTCCGATTGTCCATGGCGATGTGAAACCCAACAACGTCCAGTTCGACGCGGACTTCGAAGCGCACCTGTCCGAATTCGGCTTGGACAAGCTTTCCGTCACCCCTACCGACCCCTCTACCTCCTCCACGCCAGTTGGCTCCCTCGGCTACGTCTCCCCGGAAGCCACCACGTCCGGGCAACTCTCCTCTGCAGCTGATGTTTACAGCTTCGGCATCGTGCTTCTGGAGCTTCTCACGGGACGTAGGCCTGTCATGTTCGCGAACCAGGACGAGGACATCGTCAAGTGGGTGAAGCGACAACTCCAGAGTGGACAAGTATCCGAGCTCTTCGATCCTAGCCTCTTGGACTTGGATCCCGAGTCTTCTGAGTGGGAAGAGTTTCTCCTCGCGGTGAAGGTGGCTCTCTTGTGCACCGCGCCGGATCCCATGGACAGACCTTCCATGACCGAGGTGGTTTTCATGCTGGAAGGGTGTCGAGTGGGGACTGAAATGCCGACCTCCTCCTCCGAACCCACAAACCAAACTTCACCCGTATGAGTCCAGCTCTCTCTCTTCGATCGGCTTCACGATTCTCTGGACGCAGTTCAGCGCTGGAGCAAGAGGAGCGGCGGCTGTTGCGTCGTCCCACCGCGACAGTTTCACCACGATACTGATCCAGCCACAGAATTTCTTCAGCTTTCTCACTGCTCTGCCACGCTACTGGACGTCTCTGCAACTGCCCGCCCGGCTGAGGACTCTACGCGCTCTTCATAATCTTCACAATCCTCGGCCTCTCAAATTGTTTTTCCTCTGTTAGATTCTCACTCGTTGCCCCAGCTCAAGGAACCCAGTTTGTTTAGCTGCGCATGTCTAGCGGTGCATTTTGTGTAGCACACAGGTGCTAGGATTCTTACTCGCTGTGGATTCCATCACGCCTGCTCCCTTATTCTTTTAGCAACAGAGCTACATTTCAAGCTATTGAACAGAAGATCCACTCCGCTATTCATTCGATCCCCGAGGAAGCTTTTCTCCCCCATCGATATTGTAGCAATACCTCATTAACTACTGCGACCACGCCGACTGCACGAATCTGTCTGCTGCATCTGTGGTGCCTGTTGTGCACAAAAATAAAACAGCCCGATTCGTCCTACGTGCCGACGTTGTTACAAAATGGATACCGACACTGGGTGCATGGTTTAGAAAGTGCGGTCTGAAGTCAGCGCTATAGGGTCAACGTTTCTGTGCGTGTGTGTGTGTGTGTATTTTTATTTATTTATTTATTGTAGTGTTTTTGACGTGGGAATGACGATGATGGCTTTTGATTGCCAATGTGGGTTTGATTAGTTTTTTTGTTTACAGCCACAAGGGAAGGACATCATGGTTTTGTGGAGACCCATGATGAGGTACAAATTTGATGTTGAGGTTTAACCAACATCATGGTTGTAGTAGATTGTTGTTAGATAGTGTGTGTCATGCCTTTAGTTCTTACACAAAATGACATGATATTTAATAAGAATTTTGTATGTGTTTGAGTCATTTTTTAAAAAAAAAAAACAAATTTTTTTAACGCTGTTGCTGCTTTTCATTTGGGTATTCTTTCCACAATTTGGGTTTTTCTGAGCAAACTTGCACTCGTATTTTGGATATCATATATTGTGAATGTTCAAAGTTACTTTTAGTCTTTCCATAACTCCTGTGAGGTTGAATATTTCTGTGCTCAAAACAATGACATGCTCCTTGATTTACTTAAATTTTTGCATATATTTTTTTTTTTTAAAAAAATTTTAGTTCACTTTAACTAATGTTTTGTTGTTCTTCTTCTAGGAAAGTTTTTTTTTAAAAAGACAGTCAATTATTACCTAATACTTTTCTTGCACACAGTAATTTCAAATGTTAAACCAAACATTTTATATTGTGCATTTCGTCAGCTAATTTGCTTGTACATCTGTTGTTGTTTTTGTTTTTTTGTTTTCAATTTGTTTCTTTTTTGTTTTTGTTTTTGTTTTGTTTTGTTTTGTTTTTTTTTTTTTTGTAAATGAAAATCGTTTTTCTAACATCATTGACTTCAATCTTTTCTACTGAATGTAATGAAGAATTCCATATACAATTTCACTCTTTTTTGTGTAGGTGATATTCATGCACACATGCATCCCACATTCACTCATTTATTTGCCACGTGCAAAGAACCAATATGGTCAATGATATGATGTACAAATAACAAAGTGGAGGTGTTTTTACAAGTTATACAAGGCTTTTTGATGGTGGTTATTGAAATAATGAATTTGATTTTGGTCAATGAGAAGGCTTCTTTATGTCTTTGTCTTATAACTAAGCTTCTTTATAATAAACTATATAAAAAAACTATATAACAAACTAGCAGAAACTTGTGTAGTTAGACATGAAAAAGCTATAAAAGCTTATGGGAGCATTTTGTTCGAAACTATGGGACCCCAAAAAGCCCTACGATGCTATATTTTTCAAGTTCCTATGGTCATGGGTTCCTACATTCTCTAAATTCCTTTCTTTATGGGAAATGAGAAGGCCTCTTTGTCTTATACCCAAGATATTTTACATAATAGATGGGGACATAATTCAAATGAAAGCTAACACAAAATAGAGTTTTTTTTCAATAGTATTTTAAAAATATAAATTGGGTTTATCTTTATTTATTGAGGTTTTCATTGTTGATTACTTTCGTATTTATGAATTTTTGCTACGATTTATTTAGTTTTTAGTTTATTGTAAATTTCATAAGTTATTTTACAATGATGTTTGCTTAATTCAACACTAATACCAACAATTTTAAAAAAAACCAATAAGATTATTATTATTATTATTATTATTTTTGAAATATAGTTTTCTAATTTATTTGCTTTGTTTTAAAAGAATAGAATAACAAGAAATAAAACTGATGTTGTTGAGTTTTTTTTCTTTTCCTTTCTTTACTTTAGTAGAATCAACCTCGAATTTACTTGATTTTATTTCCAAATGGTTTGAAATGTGTCACTTTCTTACTTTGAAAACATACAATAAATCATTGGGGTAGTATTGATTTCATTGTGTAGTTTAACTCACTCATAAAGATATTTGAAGCAATTTCAAACATAGTGAGTATCTATAAACAATGAAAAAAAATATATATATATATCATTGTGAAATTTAAAGTAAATTTGGATTGTGTAGTCGTAACCCCAAACAAGGAGAAAGGAACAACAGAATCTAATGTAGCTAAAACTCAAATATTCAAAATTGTGATACAAAAAATTGAATATCATTACATTTGTATTTAAAATAGTCGAGTGACGTTATTACTATTAAGCTGGAACAATGAGCATCAAATACAACTTGCTACTAAATGGACTATAATCTAAAAGAATCATAAAAAAATGAATTGTGTAAAGAATTATGTCTAAGTGTGTATACAAATTCTGAAACAGTGTTGGATTGGAATAATTGTATGTACATGTTACATTTTATTTTATGTTTTCAAAAGCATGACATGGAAAGAAAACCAGAGAATTTTAAAAATATTTGTAATACTTTTAATAAAAGTAATCCATAAATTGTTCTGACACGTCAGCGCAGCCCCACCAAAAGCAAGGTCGACATGGCGAGCGATACAAGACGAGAGTGTGAAAAGGGAAGAACACCAAACAGGATTAGCTGGAGACGCATGATCCCGCACCCAATCCACCGCGCAGTCGCGTTCGTAGGGGGGGGCACCGTCTCGATAAACGGGGTGCGTGACGGAGCTCGTGACTAGGAGCGTCACCTGACGGCAGCGGCGCCGACCGGCAGGAGAAGGATGGGGGAGGGAAGGGAGAGTGAAGGGGAAAGGCAGGCAGGCATCAGGATTTAGGGTTTCGCCATAGGGCTTCCTTCATTGTGCACTGGGAGAAGGGACTCTCTTCGCAGAGTGGCAACGCAGGAAGCGCAGCGGGGAATTAGTGTGTGTGTGTGTGTGAGAGTGAGAGAGAGAGAGAGAGGCGTGTCTTGCGCATGGTAAATCGCGGTGTAGAGGCGCGAGATTTCGGCGCTGTAGTCTGTAGGATTCGTGGTGTTCGAATTGGTGCCGAACGCCGTTGCATCGTTTGGTAGTGTATTCGGTGGAGCGTTGGGGAGAGAGGGAGAGAAGAAAAAAATATATATATATATATATATATATATATAAATAGGTCGGGGGTGAGGTTTGAGGAGGTGTGAAGATAGAACGGGGAAGAGGAAGTGGTTACGGTGGAGTAGTTAGGATGGTCGGAAGCGGAAGCAAGAAGGGCGATGGATTGCCGGCAATAAGCAGTACGAACATCTTTGCCGCGCTTGAGAGACGTCGCTCCAAGTCGTCGAGCAGGAGGAAATTGCAGCGGGAAAAGTCCAAGGGCAAAGAAGAGAGCGGCGAGGCGAAGCAGGAGGAGCAGGCGCAGTTCTGGTCGGCGACGCAGGTGTCCGTGAAGTCCTGGGCGGATTGCGACGATGAGGATGACTACTTCGCCACCACTGCGCCACCCCCTGACATCGACGTCGCTCCCGTTCCGGTACCGAAGGAGGCGTTGAGCCAAGGCGAGGTGAGTTTGGCACATTGGTCGTGTGTGTTTTGAACCTCCGTGGCTACCTTCTTTTTCCTACAGAATGTCTGAGTTTCTACTGGGCGTTGAATTTAGACCGTGCTGAGGACTTGGATCTTTTTTTGTCAGCCGTGATCTGATATGGACAACAGAATTGAAGTTTGAATCCTCCCTTTTGTGACCCCCAGGATTAGGCTAAAGTGCACGTCGTTTGTATTATTTGGTAACTTTTTGAAACAGTGCTTCCCAAAGTCGAAAATGGCACACTTGCAGGTCTTGCTTGCAGATCAGACAATTCCTGGTCGTTTAGATCTTGAATATGAAACACCTGTGGAACTTCTGAGTATTCACATGTATGGGTCGTGTTTAAGTAAATCTTAGCCGGTAGTCTAGGTTTTTTCTACATATGTCTGGTCCTTTTCTGTTAAGTTTCAGCTATTAGAGAATACCTCTAGTTTCTATTGGTTGAAGCACATGGGCTTATGGATTAAGCCCGTAGGCCTTGCTTGGATGTCGTTGCTGTGCAAAATATGTGTCAACTCTTGTACATAAAATGGAAGCTATAGCCATAGTCCATTTCGTACGGAGGAGGTTAATTGGTTCCGCTGCAGTTGGTGTTTCAGTGTCGCAGTTTAGGGTTCTTTCTAACATTGGCACACGCAATGGACTTCAAAGCTTAGCTTAAATTGCAATGGGAAACCTTGGTTAAGGTGCTGACCATAGAGTGCAATTACCAGGTGTCGTGTGTTGTTTTCAGTAGAGCATCATCATCACCACCACTGTGATAATATAGAAGTTGCCTCTTGCTTAAGTTTTATTAAGTGCATTTACCAAGCGTAAACGCGAGAATTGAGTTGTGGGGCAGTTTGGTCAAGTGAAGCTGTTTTTTCCTTGTCATTGGAAAAATGTATTATGAAGTGGATAGATTGAAGCTCTCGGTGCCAGTAAGGTTTTTCTATAAGCATCATTCAGTAATTAGGGTCTTGTATCATACACCAGTTTAACTATAATCTAGCACCGACATTTTACCATGTAGTTTTGGTCGCTAGTTTAGGCTTTAGACTTGTCTTGAGCTTCGTTGGTAGTTGATTTGATTTCATTTGAAAGCTTGTCGTCTCAGTTATTCTCCCCTTTGGAGATGTGTTTCTGATGGATCATGTTTTCATTATCTGCTTTTTGAACTTCAGGAAACAGAAGGTGACGAAGATGGAGAGGGAGAGGACGAGGTCGACGATGAGGTTGAGGAAGAAGCAGAGAATGAGAGTGGAGCGGCACAAAGGACTGATGAGATCCCTTCAAAACCGGATGTCGTGGTACCTCCTGTATCCAGGGAGCCTGAGCGACAGCTTTCTAAGAAAGAGATAAAAAAGAAGGAACTGGCTGATTTAGAGGCAGTTCTTGCTGAGTTTGGCCTTGAACCGACTGAGGAGAAAGACGAAAATGGTGCATTTCTCTGTTTCCTCTCCTTTAACAGAGAAGTTCATTCTGGAGAACTTTCTTTTCTTTTCACTTCTTTTCTTGCCTTTGCATAGATTATAATCGCTTATTTTTATTGAACCTGCTGCTATTGTATGTGTCTCGGCTCAGTTCTCTTGATTTTGTTTTGATTTACCAACAAGCTATCGCTGGTTGAATTCAGGATCTAATCCTCACGCCGATGACAAGAAGGATTTTGAGACGGTCAACGGAAATGAGGAAGGTGCTGGTGGAGTACCTGCACTCACGAACAGCAAGAGCTCCAAAAGAAGAAAGGCTAAGAAGGAGAAGTCCTTCAAGGAGAGGGATGGAGATGTAACGCCCACTCCTGACAATGAACAGAAGGAAGAAGAGGTTGCTGCCGAAGAGGTCAGCGAGACGGTTGATCCCAAAGAAATTTTGAAACGGATGCAGTCTTTGAAGAAGAAAAAGGCAGGGGATAGCGATTCATCGGCAGCTAAGGCTGCTGCTAGAGAGGCAGCTGCCAGGGCTGCAAAACTCGCGGCTGCTAAAAAGAAGGAGAAAAGTCATTACAATCAGCAACCTGTGAGGTGAATGGGACGTGTAGAGTAGAGCGGTCTCCAAGGAGTAAACCTCGTCCGTGCTTGTTGCGAGGCAGAGGAATCAGGCATGGGCATTTTAAAAGTATTTTCTGGTCCCATCATTTGTTTCATCAGATCGTAAACGTGAGCGTTAATTCAATTTTCGGGTTTGTTGCAGTGAGTTGTTACATATTTGTAAGGAGAAATTCCTCTGTTGTAGCTTCTCAATGTACTTTCATGTTTATCACTTGTAGTGTTATCTCTGTTATCTAATTACTCCAAGGTTAGTGTACGATGCTGGCAATCCCTTCAGCTCCCAGCATGTGCAATACGATGAAGCAAACATGCATGATCAGACCCTTAAATCAGCCGTTTGCGAAGCGAGTGTTTCAGCATTGTGATGGATCTCATTTCCTCTTGCAATCGTATCGATCCACGAAGACTTACTCCTAAGCCACTCTTTGAAGGGTTGGAGTCGTTTCTGGAGTGACTTTTCCTTCTCTCAGTGGTAACTCTTCCTTCTCTCTATAGTTAGAAGAAGGGTTTAGTACCATTCTTTTGGAAACTTTGGAGTAAAGAGCAGATATTTTACCTTCATGGACTGTTGTGCTCGGTGGTTAGAGTGGTAAGCACTGGTTGACGCTTTACCACATCAAACGTCGTCACATCTTAACAACTATATTTTATGCTGCTTGAGTATTTAAATTGTGGAAACTTTCCAACCCTTATCCATACTTGCGTGATTTGTGTAAGGTTATGAGGTCAAAAGCTACACAAAAGTCTTCAAAGAAATTGATTTTATGTAAATTTTTGTGAAACAGTATTCAACTTTCGGTATGAGAAATTAAGTTAAAATGACAAAATATTTTTATCATGTGAAATTAAGGAAATATTCTAATATTGTTCATGATATCAATCGTGAAAACACAGTAAGAATTAAAATAGATTATTTAACAATTGATAACTGATACATAATGAAATACTTGAGGCTTAAAAGGTGCAAGAGATGTCTCGTGCTTTTTCTTGCAAGTGACACCATTATTAAATTTATCATACTGTGTTAAAATATTAGTCATATTCTTGATTATGTTAGTATCTGAATTAGCCACTAAAAGTCTGGTTTGCTACAAAATCCATTTCAATTTTTTCACTGGATATAAAGTGGGTTCATCCATCTAAATCTTGGACTAAAGCAGGTTCCAAAGGGTTTAGAATTAGAAGTTTGGGAAAGGCTTAAGATTCTAGAGGTTAGGATGTGAGTTAATGATTATGAATTTAAGGAGCCTTTTAATTGCTTCGATAATTGAGAGGATTGTTATCTATCCCTTGTCTTGGATGAATATATGTCAACATCCATTTGGAGAGGACATCCCTTCCAAGAGAAACATAATAAAGATCTTGTCACATACAAAAGTTCTCAATTATTTTTAATATTTCAAATTGCAACTATAAAATTTTATATATTTTTTTGAAACATTATGATATTATAAAATTATGATTTTTTATTATTATTTTTGAAATATTACGATATTATTTTACTTTATAAAAAATTTCAAATATTATATTATATATTATGTATTAATATTATAAATATTATATTTTGATAAATTTTTTGAAATATTATGAAATATTTCAGGAGCTACTTTAATAGTGAAACAAAACTCTCATAAAAATATATAGATATTTTTGAATTACATTGTACTCTTATACACCAATATTTAGTAAATTATTAAAATTATTTTTTTGTGATTTAGTGGAATATCACTTTTTATAAAAAAAATATTATTTTAAAAATAATCATATAAATAAATAAATAATAATAAACATTACAAAAACTAAAAATAGACAATGTCTTTTTTATAAAAAAAATATTACTTGATAGATTTGTCTTCTAGCTATCAATGTGAAGCTAACTAATATATGATAAGAAATATATCATTCAGTATATTATACAATATATAAAACATCTTTTATTAGTATCTTATGAACACTCATAAAACATAATATGGTTTTGTTTGAAAATTGTTAAGGTTTTTATAGAAGAGACTTTTGAAACATTTATAAGCCATTAATAGCTACAACAGTAAAAAAAATCTTTTGATTAAAGTACAAATATAATTGTTTTATAAAAATTAGTTTACTATAAAACTTACAAAAAAGTATTAGCAAAAATTTAAAATTTAAATAATAAAATAATCAAATAATCAAACGAAAACAATAGATAATAATAACTAAACATATTTTAGTAAAATTATATATTTTTAATTCACCATAATATATATATATATATATATATATATATATATATTGTAAATGATATTCTTTAGATTATTGATTACATTAATAATACTGATTAGTACTAATAATTTTTTTTAACCTTATTTTGAATCATTTTTAAAGTTATGAATAGCTTCAATGTTTAATATATACTATCTAAGTTTTTGTAAGTTAATTAATGTATAAAGCTTTTACATAGTATAATCGACTTAAAATATGTGTAAACAATGTAGATACTTCAAGTAATGATATTCAAATTTTACTTAGCTTATAGTACCTTTGGTTGTTTGATTTATTATTGATATGTATTTTAAATTATTTTGTTCAAAGAACCATACTCTATGTCATGTATACAAATTTGTAATGGTTTTACAACAACAAGTGGTTTGGTGTTTGTACATTCATTTATTATCTATAAAACCATATATATATATATATATATATATATATATATATCTTATAAGACAATGATAATAAATATGTAAAAAAATTCAAACCACATTTTATTTGAAACAAATTAATCTACAATTTTAGCCAAATATGTGATAAAACAAATTAACTTAAGAAAGAATTATGTGTTATTACAATAATAACTATTATTGTAATAACACACAATCCTTGCTTAAGTTAATTTGTATAATAATTCCTTGATATTTAAAATATGAACACAATTAGTTAGATTGATAATTGGGAGGTAACTATTTGTGAAACAATGTCAAAATTAAATCATAAGGCAAAAAAGTAAGGACCTATTGCAATAGAAGATCTTTTTAGAGGTCAAAGGGCAAGATTAGAGAGTTTGTTTTAAAATCATTTCTTAGTATATATTTGCAAGATTGTGGTTTATAAAGATCTTTGATAAGGCAATGAAAGTTAAGAATTTAGAAGTAAGAAAACTTTAAAGGCAATAAAGTTTAGTGTGATTTCTAGGTAAATTTTTAAATTTGGAAGCTTAATGAATGATTAGATTTTTATGAGTGAATAAAGAAAAAATAAATATGTATATATATATATATATATATATATATATATATATAATGTTGTATCATTGTAATGGTGTCGTTGATAAATCTTTCATTGCTTATGTAAGGAGATGCAAATATTGAGCAAATTGAAATTAGCCTCTATTTTCTATAAATCTTAATATTTAAAAATCAGATAAAATAAAAAAAATTTAGGTATAGATACAAGACATGACTAGTTAAGCAGCACACAAAAATTTAATAGTAGTTAACAATTACATTACAAGATTTTACTATTTGAATTCTTCATCAAATTTGGAGTAGAGATAAAAGATTTATTAGTAGAGGTTTTGTTGTGATACTTGTTAATCTTTAAGTGGAATCATCTTCAAAATTTATAAGCTTGTATATAATTTACATAGCCAATAGTATAAAAAAATCGAAGCTAATTTATATTTTAATTAAAAACTGATATATGTATATATATCTGTGCCCATGTGTGTGGGTCTATATATATATATATATATTAAACTTCAGCAATTGAAATTCAAAATATCCTTATTCTTAACTTAGAATTTATTAAAGAAAGATAGAACTTCAAAAAAAAATTAAGCTATAAAATTTAAGATTTGATAAGGCCCTAGAATTTAGGAATTATTGCTTGATAGCATTAAGAAGTAAGAATTTATTTTTATTTGAAGTTATGAAGTCTTAACAATTAAGAGTCCAATGTTTTTTCAAATAGACAATAAACTTCACAACACCATTTTTTAGTTTTTTTCTAGTGTTTGTATTTATTCTTATTACAATGAATTTGTAAAATTTTGGCATGTGACTTCTGACAAATGATCTATTGCTACACTAAAAGGATTTTTATAAATGTGTAAGGATTTTAATTAACTTTGTATGGTTTTTGCAATGATGTGAAAGTATGTGCAATGGTTGCTTTCTATTCTAATGAAGCATATTGCTTATTACTTATACAAGCTCGAATTTATTTATTTATTTATTATGTTCTTTTGAGTCGTTGTCATAATCAACAACTTTGAGTAAATACGTCACTATGAACCACATTGTATCTACTATGCCTTGCTCCTTGCATAGACTATTTACTTGAGGGTTTTTAGCTTTATTGCATTCTATTGCAAGTACTCTTTTTCTTATTGGTTAGTATCATTTAAAAAGTAACTAAATATTAATTAGATAGTTTAGTGATGTAACATTCTACTATACAACATCTAACATATTCTAATTGCTTTATTATATTCTAACTATATCTTAGAAGTTGTATGTTAAATTTCTTTATAAAACTAATTATGTCATTTTTTATAACTTAAGAAATCTATTAGATAATTAGATTGTAATATGTATTTGCTTCATTGTATTATGTCTTTATTATTAAACTTTAGACATTCCAACAAGAGTTATTAAATTTAGCCAATATCTAAACCATTGATTTTTTATTTTGTATGTTGTATTCTACCTTAACCATGTCATTGTATATTATAAGCTCGTATCCACCAAATTGGTTGTTTAGAACAATTTAATCTATTGCTTCAATCTACATTAATCTCTTGTACTATTTCAAGTTATATCAATCTAGTAGTTCTATTTTGAGTATAAATTTATTAATATGTAAAGTTGAATCATTACAATTTATAATCTAAATGATAATAATTTAAATTAGAATTTTTAAATTTAATTTTAAAAAAGCTCTAAGATTTACCTTTTGATATGTTTTATGACATGATTTGTTATATGTATATATATTCAAAAGCTTAATAATTTTTCTTGTTGTTTTTAAATATTATATGTAATAAGTTTTTCTTCCAAGTGGCATGTAATATACATATCCAATACCATTTAATTCTTTTCTTAATAAATATATTTATAATTTTATTTTTATTATATATTATTATTTAATTATTATGATCTTTTAGAATTAAAAATACATTGTATTGATAATTTTATATTTTTTATATTTGGTGTGGATTTATATTATAGATTATCAAAAAGAATTTTTTAATGCTTTTAAGTGAAACAATCTTGATACTATCAATATTGAAAATTTATTATTAGGTACTATGGATATTTAAATTTATGTATTCATCTAATAGAATTTGGAGTCAAAAAATGTAAATATTTATTTTTAGGAAACAAGCCTCCATTTGGTTGAAGGATTTCAAGGGCTATAAGTATGAAGATGCTCTTAGGAGTGTAGAGTGGCAACAATTTTAAATTTTTTGAGATCAAGACAAGTAGATTTTATTCCAAAATATAGAATTCTAGTAAATTGTCACAAAGTTTTTTCCTGTAGAAATAACTTCTAGATTGGTAGTGAATTACATATATTAAGTGTACATGTATATGAATTGAGTGTTTCAATTTCACAGATTATGATTGGGAAGATGTAGTTTCCAACATGAATGAGAGGCAATCACATTTCAATTGGCTATTATATTATTTATGTTTGACCTCTTTTAAAATAATACTTTATACTATTTAATTGTAGAATTATATGGTTGTAGAATGAAATTAGCTATATTTTTCATTAAACATGTTATGGTTGCAATTCTACCATTTACTAAGCAATTATTAACATATTCAAATGCCACAAAGCAATCTAATACTCAAAATTATATTCATTGTATTAATAGTTTCTTGTAGGTTGTGGATATCATTTATGATACTTATTATTTTATTTGCATATAGATCTATGCAACAAGGATCATTATTGCTACTATTGTACGTGATTGAGTTGGAAAAATTCTATCTGTACAAATTGATCATATAGGTTTTACACATAAAAGCATTGTATTCTTAAATATCAAATTATAATCTAATAATTCTAAAAAAAAAATTAACTATTAATATTTTCTAGTAGATGATTCATTTTTATTTTAATCAATACTATTAGATCATATAGACATCTTCAAACTTTATGATTGAAAAAATATTCATTTCAATTTTACATATGCATCTATTTATTAGAAATTTGAACATTGCATAAATATGTTTAAGAAACAATTAAGAAATCTAAGAGTTTTATTTATTAAAGTACATCATAATAAGATTAACATGCATGTTGTGTGTTTAATAAAGATATAATCATACATCATAATAAGAATAACATGCATATTGTATTAAAGTGTTTGTTATAATTAATACAATAATTTTATAATATATATGATATAATTTTTTGAAAATAGATTAACAATGATTGACTCTGTAAATTTTTGTAAATATAAGTATCTATTGTTAATACTTATGTAATTTTTTGAAATATATATGACATATTCTTTTGTAAATTTGAATCTTATTAATAATTTTTGATATTGAACATTATAAGAATTAGTACTAAAATTAATTGGATTTGTGGGAAGAGTTGACAAAGAAAAATCATATCCTTTGAATCCTATAGATTCTTCAATATCATCTAAAGACACATAAAAATAATATGGAATAGGAGATAGAGATAAAGATGCAAATTGTAGCATAGATTGCAAATTATGGAATATTAAGTTTTAAACAATATATTTTAAATCATCCATAATTGGAAGATGAGTTAATAGTCTATTTGACATAAACAACTATAAGCAACTAAATTAGAGACATTCAATATACGGGCATAATCTCTAGTGGATTTAAACTCTAATAAATCCATCATGCACTTAAAAAGGTAGAATGTTTAATTTTATTTTTGGTCTCTTAGGTTATTTAGAAATTTAAGAGAATTGTTTGTAAAATATAAATATTTGTAAAGAAATACAAAAACATATCTATTTTTGTGTAAGAAATCCAAAAAGCACATATATTTAATGATAATCATGACTATAATGATAACTATAGTTTCATAATTAAAAAGATACTTGTTTTTTTTTTTTAAATAATATGTATTAAAACAATTCAATCATGTATGTTAGAAACAATCATTAAATAAATGTCTCAAACCTAAAAGAAAAAGAAAAAGGAAAACAAATATTTATAATTGATGCATAGAAAGGTATCAAATTATTTTAAATCATACAAGTTAGATTGAATCCTATTGACAAAATGATGGATATTTCTTCTATTAAAGATAAGGTAATTATTGAATGTCTCTAATTTAGTTGCTTATAGTTGTTTATGTCAAATAGACTATTAACTCATCTTCCAATTATGGATGATTTAAAATATATTGTTTAAAACTTAATATTCCATAATTTTACGGGCATATCTTCAATTCCTTCATGCTCACCCGTAAGCTATTCTCATTGGATTGCAAATTTGAGATACAATCTACATTAAGAAGATATTAGATATAATTTTTATTTTAATATTTGATGACTACCTACAATAACAATCTTTTTAGATTCTTTTTAGGATGCATTGAATGAATCATATCAATAGTGTTTTCAAATGTAGCCACAATGCATAGAACAATTAATCAGATGATAATTTTAGATCTTCACAAAATGTATTAATGTAATATAACATTTATGATTTTTTGGCAGTAATGTCATTACTTATATTGAAGCACCTCTTAATGGTTCTGATTTTTAATGCCCCTATTCCGACAGCAAGTCCCATTCTACAATGAATTGTTTATAGACTTAATACTATTTTAAGATTTTTTTTCCAAACCTTCAACTTTTACAACCACTGCTGTCTTCAAGAAATTAGTTGATGAATTCACTTCACCATTTGCAGTGTATGACTATTTGGAGTTTAACTGCAATTTATTAATTATTTATAGCAAGTCAAAGTTTCAAAAGTACCTAATCAAATGAAACCAGAAGTTTTAAAAAACTTGAGAATTGTTACCACCTATTTTCTAAACCCTAGAATTGAAATCTGATATGACTACATTTAGCAAGTAGAAATGACCATAGCCAACCTATATAAATGGGCTCTCTGCACTGCTTGCATAGAAATGGTCAACTTCTACTTCGATTCTCAATTACAGGAATTCACGTACATATGCAAAAGTAGTCCCCTCATAAAAATGTAGGTCCTATGGATATCTACTAGTGTTATCTGGAACCGACTGAGATAGCACTTCTGATAGAGCTGTCTATCTTAAGAATTTGGACCAGATTTCATTTTTTACTCAAATGCCCAAATTGAGAAACGCCAGCTTTTGCATAAACACACTGAACTAGGGCCATCATCAGCTCCCTTAGTACAATTTTTAGGTCCCGTACAATGCTTGAAGCATTCACTTTTCTGCTGTACAAAAGTAAATTGAAAAAAGGAAGTAAGAAAATAATCAAATGCCTAAAATTGGAGAACCGAATTAATGTTGGGGGCGCCTAAGAGGTATTCTTGAATACAAAGCAATGAGGGAGGTGCTTGCTCAGCCCTGTACCTGCATGAACAAAAGCGCAACTCAATTTTCAGAGTTCTCTTGGACTTTAACAAAGCTTGCAAATCAAAATGCAGTTATAGTAGGTTAAGCACAGAATGAAAAATTACTCAAAAATATCACATGGATAACCACTGATGTACATCATGGCGAGGCACACAGCGTCCAAGAGGGTCAGTGGACATTGTCGTGAATCATGATTGAAAACATCTCCACAAATCTAATAAAGCTCAAAAATAACGTCTCCCCACGTGGAACTTTTAGAGTTTCGTGTCTTAACGAATTTCAGCTAGAATCGGAGTGGGTCACCCCATATGAGCTGTTTTTAAGCATTGAGTTCAGGTCTCACCTATTTGCGTTTCTTGCTGTTACCCTGCACCTCCTCTATTCCTGGCGAGTTAGCCCATCCCCTTCTACCAGGAGAAGGACTACTCTTGTTCATCTTCTTTTGGTCTTTACGTGCGTGTCGCTCCCGCTGATCAACCTCTTGATTCTCTCTTTCGACAAGCCGAATCAGTGTGTCACACCTCCTGGCCAATTCCGACGGTGTCCGAGACTTAACGAACCAGTCAAAGCGGAACACAGGAGAGGAATGCACTGCTGCCTTAAGCTCCTCCCAGTTTCCATAGCCCAATCTGTGCACAGAGCATAGCAGGAATCGGTCGCACTCCTCACTGTACAGTTTCCCCTTGTTCTGTCCATATTGAATCTTGAGTTCCAACCAAGGGTTACGGTATCTGTCCAGTTTCTTGCTCACTGACCTCATAATCTCATCCTTCCGAGAAATACGCGCCTCTCCTCTCTCAATATTCTTTATGATCCTTTCATGATCATTCAAAGTGTTGTACCGACTCCAGAACACTTTCGAGTATTTTTCCACCTCCTCCTCTGTTTTACCGTCGATTTCACTGGCAATACTTTTCAAATCATCACGCCCATACTTTTCACAAGCTCGCACAAATGCAACGAAATCGCGCCGGGACCAATTCTGGAAACCCTCCGAGAGCAGCTGCTCTTTTTCCTCCTGCTCCTTCTCCGTAAGTCCCTCCTCTACGTCCTCGATGATCCTAACATCCTCACCGGTTCCTGCTGCTTTGGCATGCAACAGTTGTTTAACTTCTTTCTCAAAGAGCTCTGTAAGTCGCTGCGTATTGAAGAACTGAAAATCGTGCAACTGAGGCATTCGAGGTATGCGCGGCTCTCTGGGCTTCGGCACAGGTCCAGCTCGCATTGCCTGTTTGAAGTAATCAGACTCCGAATAATTCCGCTTGCGTTCCCGCTTGGGAGGCTCAATCCAGTTATCAGCAATGATCTTCTTAAAATCGTTCTTGCCATCTTCTTTATCGTCCCCATCATCAAAATCATAAAGCCCGGCAGTATCATCCATCTTAAACTTGATAGCATCATCGGTGAACTTCTTCATCTTCTGGTCGAGTTCCGCAGTAGCTTCTTCTCCTTTCGCAATAATACGATCAATATCTTCATCAGTTATCGTGCTATCACCGGAACTGAACACCTTCTCAGCTCCATAGCGAACCATTTGCAACAGCTCATCTTTGTTGACTGCTTTCTGCTCAGCTAAACGCCCCTGTTGAATGACAAGGGCATCCAGCGCCAACTTCTTGTAAGCCCGCTCGATCACCTTCTCCTCTATCGTAAACTCCGTGCAAAACCTAAAGACTTGAACTTCTTTCTTCTGACCAATACGATGTGCACGGTCCTGAGCCTGCAGATCAACTTGTGGATTCCAGTCGCTGTCGTATAGAATGACAATGTCTGCAGTTGCCAAATTGATTCCCAGTCCTCCTGCTCTTGTAGAAAGCAAGAAACAAAACTTCTCACTATTGGGGGCGTTGAACTGATCTATCGCACTTTCTCGATCATCGCCAGTGGTATTACCATCAATACGACAATACTGGTAAGTTCGGTATTGACAGTAATCCTCAAGAATATCCAGGAGCCTAGTCATCTGAGAGAAAATTAAAACGCGAGATTGTCGCTGTTTCAGCTTGGGCAGCAATTTGTCCAAGAGCACCATCTTTCCCGCGGTGTCGACCAAATGTTCCCCTGTGGTGTAGGGCGGCCCCGGTTCAGCTCCCTCGAAAAGGTAAGGATGATTACAGCACTTTCGAAGCTGCATGGCAATATTGAGAAGCCTTTTTCTTTCACCACCTGTGTTTATAGCATCCATGTCTTTCTGCAAGAGAGCCCGGTAATACTGCTTCTGGAGAGTCGACATGCCCACTTTCAGGATGGTTTCTTTCTTGGGAGGCAAACCCCTCTCGACATCAGATTTAAGGCGCCGTAACAAGAAAGGCCTCAGCACTTTGTGCAACTGTTGGACAACCTCATGCTGGTCATTCTCACCTGAAATCTGGAACCACTCATCGAATGTCTCAGCTGAGCTAAAAATTTCGGGAAGAAGAAAGTTCAAAAGAGCCCACAGCTCGTGAAGGTTATTCTGAAGTGGAGTTCCAGTGATCAGAAGCCGATAATTCGTGCTGAAAAGACGCATGGTCTTGGCTAAGATAGAAGATTCGTTTTTGATGCGGTGTGCTTCGTCAATAATAATGTAACGCCAACTGAACTTCCTCAACGCAGTTCTCTCCTTGATAGCCATCTCAAAACTCGTCACACAGATATCGAATTTTCCTGCGACAAGCAGCTCTTCCCTCTGATAATTACGCTCATCTTGATTGCCGTGAAATTTAAACGGCCGCAACACGGGACAAAATCTCCGTATCTCGTTCATCCAATTACCCAAGGTCGACTTCGGCCCAACCACCATGTGCGGGCCCGAAATGCCACAATATTCATGCAAATACGCGAGCAGCGAAATGGTCTGCAGCGTCTTCCCGAGCCCCATCTCATCAGCCAGAATGCCATTCACACCATTCTCGTACAACCGAATAAGCCAATTCAACCCAGCAAGCTGATACTCACGCATTTTGCCATTAATGCACTGCGGTTGCACCAACAACCGTGTACCTCGTGCAGCCCCCTCATCTTCATCCTCTTTCAAATACTCCTTGTCCTCCTCTTCCTCCGTCAACTTGCTTCCATGCCGTCCCTTACTCGCCTTCTTCGCGTCCTTCGCAGACTGCGGCCCATTCGCAAAATGCGCGAAAATTTCCGTTTGCTGCAGCAGAAACTTCAACCGCCCCTTCGCCTTCGTGTTCATGTCACTGTCCACCAACTTGTTCTGCTCCGCAAGGAACTGATCCACTTCCGCCTTCTTCCGCTTCTTCAATTCATTCAACCGCTGTCGCTCCCGCTTCGCAATGTCTTTCTTCGTCCCGCCCTCCGCTTCCTCCTCCTCCTCCTCCTCCTCGCTGTCCTCTCCCGAGCCTTCCGCCATGGTTACATCATCGTCCCCAACCTCAGCTGCTGCTTCTTCTATAGCCGCTATCTCCTCGGGATCCTCCTCATCCTCTGCCTCCGTCTCCATCTTCACATCCTCTTCCTCCTTCGCCGGTGCTGCTCTCCTTCCCCCGGCCATTCTGCAAAATTAACAAAACTCAACAAATCTTGACTAAACACTTCACAAATTCCCGTCAGATACCGATTTCTGTACTACAAAATCGAAGCTCAAGCCGATCCTCTATCTCATGCAAGATGCGTCGCGACGGAGACGCATCAGGGCAAGAGGGAGAGATACAGAGAGATCGAGGGAGGCTTAATTCAAAGCCTCAATCAACGCAACTTCGCCATGGTGAGTTTGCTTCCAAGGGTTTCCAGGAGCTGGGAGCCCTAACGAATCTCTCCACCGGAAAAAAGGACCTTCGTTCGCTCGACGGCGGACGGACGTTGAACGATCGACGACGTTCGTCGAGAAACCGTTGCGTGATGAGTGCTTCCAGTGGGTTGGAGTGGGTTTCCCGCGCTGGAGAGTGGCGGGAACGAGGAGTATTCCCGTCCTTTCGTCCAAATTCAAAGCAAAATTTACCACTATGAGTGAATGCGACCGAGAGAGCCTACTCACGTGGTAAAACATATGGGGGTAAATATATGTGTGTGTGTGTGTGTTTATATATATATATATATAATAATAATTTTTAAATTGACCCACCCATCCTAACCATCATCAAAAACATTCTCCATGGTTAGATCTATATTGGTTAAAAATCAATGAAAAAATAGTTGGATCCTCAACCAATGATGATGGATGAGTTGATTTAATGAATGCATAGGTCAATTTAACACTTTCTATATATACATATATATATGATAATATAAAATATATGTATTGAAAAATTATTCTAGTTAAAAATATTTGAGATTTTCTATTTATTCAAAAAAATTATAAATCACATACTAAAATAAATAAAGAATTCAAACATATACTTTGAACCATACATGAGCTAACAACCTTTTAAATACATTATATTTTTGACATTTATAAACATAATACATATTATTTATAGTCCATCTTGTTTTTTTTTTTTTAAATTTATCTATTAGAACTATTAAATTTAATATTTTCATTAGTAAATAAACCAATGAAAAAATAATATTTTATAATTATATAATTTATAAATAGATATTATAATGATATATTATTAATTTAATATATATAATAATATATTATCATATATATTATTAATAGTAATAAAAATATTTAAGGAGTTTTAATATTGTATTAATATTTAAAACACTAAAATTATTTTATCTATTAGAACTACTTAAGAAATTTTAATATTATAAATTATATGTAATAGAATTATTTAAGTAATTTTAATAATATATTAATAATATATTATTATATATAAATTATATAATTATTTATAAATTTTTTTTTTATTGATTTATTTAATAATGGTTTTTATAATCATAAATATAATAATTTATAATTATATATATTTAAAAGCAAGATCTATCTTTTTTCTAAATATCAACACAAAAGACAAAAATGTAGTAAAAAGTATAGAAAATTCCAAACCAATCTTAAAACTAGTTGCCTAAAAATTCTAGCAACCACCTTTCCACAAATTTTTTTGGATCTCTCTTATCATAACTTATTTTCTTGCATGCTAAGGCTTGTTGGAAAGTTAACAATAAGATTAAGCTTCTTTTAAAATTTCAAAACAAAAAAAATAAAAATGTAAAAAATGGAATAGAGAACTCCAAACCATTTTTGAATCTTGTCACTCAAAAACTCTAGCAACTATCTATCCACAAATTTGTATGGATCTCTCTTATCATAGCTCTTCTTTTTGTGTACTAAGACTTGTTAGAAAATTAACAACAAGATCTAATTTCTTTCAAAATTCCAAGACAAAAAAAATCCAATAAATGGCATAGAAATCTCCAAACTAGTCTTGAATCTCGCTATCTAAAAATTCTAGCGACCCCCCTCCAATACACTCCTATCCAACCAAAAAAAAAAAAAAAAAAAAAAAAAAAAAAAAAACACCACTTTATGCCAAAACTCCTATCCTAGTCTTCTTCCAATACCCACCTTGAACCACTATATAGTTGGATATATATATCCTAAAAGATAATATCTTCAAAGTTTGAATATTCTATTTAAGATAATAATCTTATATTCTAAATTTCACTCAAATTTATAAATATATTAGTATTATATTCTCCCCTCTTTACAAATAAAACTAATCATCTTCCAAATATCTTTGATGTACTTAAATTAAGTGCATCATGACACTATGCGGCTAGACATTTTAATACTTCAAATTCATCAAGATCCATCTCTTTCTATCTAACTTTCTTATTATTTTATTATACCTTTATTTCTTGGTCTACAAAAACTTCAAACAAATGCCTTATTAGATTCAAAAGCATCTATTTACTTTTTGGATGAAGAATTTTCTAAAATTCATAAAATTCTTCTACTATACAAATCAAAATCTATACATGTAGAAATAATAGATAGTCAATTTTTATCTTCAAGCAATAATATTCATGAGATTATACCATTAGAAATATCATTTGAAGGCTATAGTAGCAAAATAATATTTAATATTATTATGATCCTATCTAATTCTATCATTTTAGGACTTTTGTGGTTAAAAAGATATAATCCATCTATAGATTGGAGGTTTCATAAAATTAAATTTTTTATAGAATTCTTTTGAGTAAAACCTATTACAAAGTTATCAACAACAAAGTCCTTGTTTTTTAGAGCAAGGACTTTTGTAAAGATAGCTAAGAAGGAAATGTCATTTTTTATTTATGCAACTTGAGCTCATGAAGAAGCAAGCTTGCTAGTACTATCTTAGAAGAATATAAAGAATTTCAAGATATCTTCAAAAAGAAGAATGTTGACATATTACCAAAACATTGATTGTATGATTGTACCATTGATCTTTAAGAAGAATATCAACCACCATTTGGTCCAATCTATAACCTATCACAAAACAAGCTTTCAATAGTGAAGGATTACATCAACAAAAATCTTACAAAGAACTTTATTCTATATTCTAAATCTCAAGCAAGTACACCAATACTTTTTGTGAAGAAAAAAGATGGATCTTTACAAATAATTGTTGATTATGACAGCCTTAAGAAAATAATGGTGAAGAATTGTTATCCATTAAAATTAATATCAAGGCTTTTGAAGCAATTCTATCAAGTTAAGATCTATATCAAAATAGATCTCCATTGAGCATATAACTTGGTACAGATTAAAAAAAGAAGTGAATAGAAGAGAATATTTTAGATAAGATATGGAAATTTTGAATATATTTTCATGCCTTTTAGATTGACAAATGCTCCCATTATAATCTAACATTTGATGAATGTTATTTTTTGAGAATTCCTAGACAAGTTTATTATTTTTCATCTTGATGATATCTTAATCTATTCCAAGACTCCTAAAAAATATGAAGAACATGTGAGATTAGTCTTATAAAAGTTATAAGATGTAAGATTATATACCAAATTAGAATAATGTGTATCTATCAACCAAAAATAAAATTTCTGAAATATAATATATCCAATGAAGGCTTGTTGATGGATCCAAAGAAAGTTCAAGTAATAAAGAAGTGAGCAATTTCAAAGATAGTGTTGGATATACAATATTTTTTTGAATTTATTAATTTTTATCAGATATTTATCAAGAATTATTCGAATTGACTTAATTGATATCCAAAGACAAATGGAAATAAAAACCTCAAGGACAAAAGGCTTTTTAAGATTTAAAGACAACTTTAATTCTAGTTCCAATTTTATTACATTGAGATTTTATAAAGGCTTTCTATTTGAAGACTAATACTTTTAACTTTGTATTAAGAGCTGTATTATCACAAATGAAAAAGTATGGGAAATTCCACCCACTTGTATTTTATTCTAAAAAGCTTTCAACTATAAAATTAATTATGAGATTCTTAATAAAGAGCTTCTTGTGATTGTAGACTCTTTTTAAGAATAGCATCACTTGTTAGAAGGTACTACATATCTTAAGAATATATAAATTAATCACAAACATTTGAAATATTTCATATTAACTTGGATTTTGAATCGCTACCAAGCTTGTTGAAATATGTCATTATTTTGTTTTGATTTTGTGATTACATATCAACTAAGAAAGTAACAATGACTATCAAATGCTTTATCTTAGAGATCATATCTTGCTCCAAAGGTCAAAGAAGAATCATTTGATTAACAATGTATCACTCTCTTGAAGCCAAAATAATTTTATCTTTGAGCTATTTTTATGATTATTCTTAAAGATTCAAATTTTCTTGAATAAATTTATATAGTATCAACTAAGAACTCATTAATTTATAATATCAAGCAGTGCCTTGACAACAATAAGTTTAAGTTTTTTTAAAGATCTTTTGTATTTTAAAGATTGTTTATATATTCCAAAAAAATTAATACAACTTTGTATTTTTTAATTTTATCATGATTTTCCAATTGCAAGACATTTTGGATTTTAAAAAAATATTAGAGCTTATCTCTTCAGATTTTTAGTAGTTTCAAATGTGAAAGATTGTGAAGGACTTTGTCTTCTTGTGTGACATCTATTCATGTTCTAAGAATTCTTGACATTATCGTTATAGACTTCTACAACTACTATCAATCCCAAAGTAACTATGGTCTTTAGTATCAATGGATTTCATCACTGATTTATCACCATCAACTACATTTGATGCTACCTACGTTATTGTGGATTGACTTACAAAGATAACATATTTTGTTCTATATAAAAAAATAAATAAAAAAAAGAAATGTTAAGGTTCTTTCTTGATAATATATATTGATATTATAACCTATCCAATGACATTATTTTTAATTGAGGACCTCAATTTATATCAAAGTTTTAAAAACTATTTTTTAAAATATTAAAAATCGATATCAAACTTTCATTTACCTTCTACCTTCAAATTGATGGTCAAATAGAACAAGTTAATCAGGTTTTAGAGCAATATTTGCAATGTCTCATCAACTATCAATAAGATGATTGGTTTTCATATTTATCTTTAATAAAGTTTGTTTATAATAATATTTTTCATGCTTTTATTTAACAAACATCATTTTATATCAATTATGGTTACCATCCAAAGCTTGATTTGTTGGGTACATTAAAGGATGAAAATCCAATATCTGAACATCTTGCAAAATAATTATCATAGCTCTAAACAATTCTAAAGTTTCATTTATAACTCAAAATTCTTATAGAGCATGTTTAAAAAAAATTATAAAATAATTCTATATTTTTTAAGTTGAAAATAAAGTATGGCTTCTTCAATGAAATATCAAGACCAATTGGC